ATCTTAAAGGCCCCTTTGTTTTCATTTTGAAAAAAAAATCTTGGGGTCCATGGTGTCGGGCCTTTTTTGAAAAGGATTAAAACATTCTTGGAAGGCCTTGTTCTTTGTTTTAGAAGAATTTAAAAGAATCTTATTGTCCTATCTAACATTTTCATTTTGAAAAAAAATTTAAGTAGTTCGGAAGAATCTTGGAGACCGTTAGCGTTTTCTTTTGAAAGAACCTGGAAAAGTCTTGAAGGATCCTGCTTATTTAAAAAAAAATGAAAAATTTAAAGAGTCTCTAGTGTCTTTTTTTAACAATTTGAAAGAATTCGGACCCCCCTAGTGTTTTGTTTTTGAAGGAGATTAAAAAAATCCTGTAAGCGCCTCATGCTTTACTTTGAAAAAAATTTGGAGGAATTTTAGAGGCACCTGTTGCTCTCAAGAATTAAAAAAAAATCAAGGCCTCTTTTGAAAAGGATTAAAAGAATGTTGGAATCGCCTTGTGCTTTGGTTTGAAAAAAATTAAAAAATTTTAGAAATCTCTAATGTTTTCATTTTTGAAAATATCTTAGTGTGTCTAGCGTCATTTTCAAGAATTTAGAACAACTTTGGGCTCTTTTTTTGAAGGAGATTAAAATAATCTTCGAAATCAGTCGTGCTTTGTTATGGAATAATTTAAAAGAATCTTATTGTCTTATCTACTGTTTCCATTTTGAAAAAATTTGAAGGAACTTTCGAATCTTTAGTATCTTTTTCAAGAATTCAAGACAAATTTGGGGATTTTATTTAGACAAAGATTTAAAAAAAGAAACTTGGAACCTCTGGTCTATTGAAAAAGTCTTAAAGGACCCTGCTGATCAAAAAAAAAGAAAAATTCAAGGAGTCTCTAGTGTCTTTTTAAAAAATTTTGCACGGAATTGAAAGAATCTTTGAAGCGCCTCATGATTTGTTTTGAAAGAATTTCAAAGAGTTTTAGTTGTATCTGAAAAAATATGAAAAAAATCTTCAGTTCCCTGGGAAATTTTTCGAAAATAAAAAAAATTGGGGCCTTTTTTGAAAGGGATTAAAATAATCTTGGAAGCCCCTCGTGCTTGTTTTGTTTTGAAAGAATTTTAAAAAATCTTTAGAAGACCCTAATGTTTTCATTTTTGAAAATATATTGGTGTCCTAGCGTCAGTTTCAAAAATTTAAAACAACTTACGGCTTTTAAAGATATTAAAGGAATCGTGGAAATCACTCTTGCTTTAGTTTGAAATAATAATTAAAACGATATTCTTATTGTCTTATCTACTTACTTCATTTTGAAAAAAATTTAAAGAATTTTGGAATCTTTAGTACCTTTTTCAAGAATTTCAATCAAATTTGGAGCTTTTATGTAGAGAAAATTAAAAAAAAACTTGGAAGCCTCTCGTATATTGAAAAAGTCTTAAAGAACCCTGCTAGTTTTACTTTTATTAAAATGAAAAATTCTAGGAGTCTAGTGTCATTTTTTAAAAATTTGAAAGAATTCAGGCCGCCCTAGTTATTAGTTTTTGAAGGAGTTTAAAAGAATCTTGGAAGCGCCTGGTGCATTGGTTTGAAAGAATTTAAAAGAACTTTGGAGTATTTGTAGCTCTAATTTTGAAAAAATATGAAAAAATATGCAAAAATCTTCAGTTCTCTAGTATCTTTCTCAAGAATTAAAAAAACAATGGGGCCTTTTTTGAAAAGGATTAAAAAATCTTCGAAACCCCTCGTTTTTTGTTTTGGAAGAATTTAAAAGAATCTTATTGTCTTATCTTTTGTTTTCATTTTTAAAAAATTTCAAAGAATTCTGGAATTTTTAGTGTTTTTTTCAAGAATTTAAAACAATTTTGGGACCTTTATTTACAAAGAAATTTAAAAAATCTAGGAAGCCTCCGGTGTATTGTTTTAAAGTTGGGAAGGATCTTGAAGGCCCTTAGCTTTTTGTTTAGAAATAATGTGAAAAAATCTTGAAGGACCCAACTAATTAAAAAAAATAATAAAAATTTAAAGAGTGTTCATTGTCTTTTTTTAACAATTTGAAAGAAGGAGATTAAAAAGAGTATTGGAAGCGCTCTCATTTTGAAACAATATGAAAAAATCTTCAGGTCCCTAGTTTCTTTTTCTAGAATTTAAAACCATTTTCGGACCTTTTCTTTGAAGGTGACTAAAAGAATTTCGGAAATTCCTATTGCTTTGTTTAGAAAGGATTTTAAACGAATCTTAGAGGCTGCTGTTGTTTTCATTTTGAAAGAAAAAATTCTTGTGGTACCTAGTGTCTTTTTTCAAGAATTAAAAAGCAAATTTAGGGTCTTTTTTGAAAGAAATTGAAAGAATATTGGAAACTTCTAATGTTTTGTTTGTAAGTATTCAGAAAACTCTTGGAATTCTTAATGTCTTTTTCAAGAATTTAAAACAATGTTGAGGCTTTTATTTAGAAAGAGTTTAAAAAAAAAACTTTGAAGCCTCTACCGTTCTGAAAAAGTCTTAAAAGACCCTGCTGATTCAAAAAAAAAAAAAAATCAAAAATTTTTGCACGAAATTTAAAGAGTTTTGAAAGCACTTCGTGCTTTGTTTTGACAAAATTTGAAAGAATTTTAGAGGCACCTGTTGCTATAATTTTAAAAAAATATATGAAAAAATTCTCAGGTGACTAGTACCTTTTTTTTAATTTAAAACAATTTTGGGACCTTTTTTTGAATTGAATATAAGAATCTTGGAAATCCCTATTGCTTTGTTTTGAAAGAATTTTAAACGAATCTTAGAGGCCCCTGTTGCTTTCATTTTGAAAAAAAAATTCTTTTGGTACCTAGTGCCTCTTTTTTCAAGAATTGAAAAGCAAATTTAGGGCGTTTTTGTGAAAGAAATTGAAAGAATCTTGGAGACTTCTGACGTTTTGTTTTTAACTATTCAGAAAACTCTTGGAATTCTTAGTGTCTTTTTCAAGAATTTAAAACAATGTTGAGGCTTTTATTTAGAAAGAGTTTAAAAAAAACTTTGACCTCTGGTGTTCTGAAAAACTCTTAAAAGACCCTGCTGATTTAAAAAAATCAAAGAGTTTCTAGTACCTTTTTTAAAAATTTTTGCACGAAATTTAGAGTTTTGAAAGCACTTCATGCCTTGTTTTGGAAAAAATTTGAAAGTATTTTAGAGGCACCTGTTGCTATCATTAAAAAAAAATATATGAAAAAATTCTCAGGTTTTTTTAAATTAAAACAATTTTGGGACCTTTTTTTGAATTGATTATAAAAATATTGGTTTGTTTTGAAACAATTTTTAACGAATCCTATGATTTCCTGTTTTCATTTTTAAAAGAAAATGAAAATTCTTGCAGTTCCTAGCGTTTTTTTTTTTTTCAAGAAAAAAATAATTGTCGGGCCTTTTTTTGAAATAAATTGATAAAATCTTGGAAACTTCTGGTGTTTTGTTTTTTAAGTATTCGGAAGAATCTTGAAAAAATGCAAGAGTCAATTATCTTTTTTTAAGAATTTGAAAGAATTCGGGCCGCCCTAGTTTTTTATTTCTGAAGGAAATTGAACAAATTTTGAAAACGCCTCATACTTTGTTTTGAAAGAATTTGGAAGAATTTTAGACACATCTGTTGCTTTAATTTTGAAAAAATATGAAAAAAATCTTCAGTTCTCTAGTATCTTTTTCAAGAATTTTAAAAAATTCGGGCCTTTTTGAAAGGTATTAAAAAAATCTTGGCAGTCACTCGTACTTTGTTTTGAAAAAATTTATAAAATCTTTGAAGCCCGTAATGTTTTCATTTTAAAAAACATTGAAAATATCTTAGTACCCCTAGCACCATTTTCGAAAATTTAAAACAATTTTGAGCTTTTTTTTGAAGGAGATTAAAAGAATCTTGGAAATCACTTGTGCTTTGTTTTCAAAGAATTTAAAAGAATCTTATTGTGGTATCTAATGTTCTCATTTTGAAAAAATTTGAATGAAACTTGGAATCTTTTTTTAGAATTTTATAATAATTATGATGTTTTATTTTTTAAATAATTTGGAATAATGTTGAAGGCCCTAGGTCTTTGGTTTTGAAAGAATATGAGTGTTAAAAGAATTTTAGAGCTTACCTACCTTAGTTCTAGAAGCACGTGTGAAGAGACGAATTTACGAGAAGAGTATTAAGATTCTAATTCATAAACAAATTGAAAAATTCTTGATTCTTTTTTTTGTAGTAAAATTGCATACACTTTTAACCCTGAATGTTCAGATTTTTAGAAAAAATTGAAAACTTTGCAATAATACTTCGAGATTATTATCAGTTTGATTGACGATGACGTAAAAAATTGCCAAATGAATTCAATTTATCTAACTTCAGACCAATTTTCCTTAACGAAAACCCCCGTTTAAAACTCATCATTTTCCAAAAGAATAATTAACCTTCGCATCAAAATAAAACACTCGTCCAGCCCCACATGCAATAAAATTCAAGCACGCACACCAACCCTCTTCTAATTTACAGCATCGTAACCATGCAGCGATACCTTCACTCCAAGAAATTAACTTTATTTTCTTCACAATCTATTAATTTTACGAGCCGGCGAATTTATGGAAAGCACACAGTCTTGCCTACGCCATTAATCCGAAAAACTCGCACAAAGGCAAATTAGCCGCTACCCCCCGGTTAATTGTTCGAGTGATAAATAGCCCGTACCTGTACAGGCAAAACAGGTGTGTCGTCCAGAAATAATTGGACCTATGTCCGCCAACTCTCCCATATTAAACACAAACAAGTTGCGTGCACTCATTCAACCATAACACCAACTCCTGTGTGCCTCAAAACCTTGAAAATTAATTATTGCCCAAAGAGTATAATTGTGCGTTCTTAGAAAAAAAATCTCGTCAGGGACTCCAACTAAACGCTTCCATTTAAAAAAAAAATATAAAATATTAGGTTTGACACCACATTGTAATTACCCTAATAATATGCAAACTAGCACGAAGGCGACCCATAAATACCCAAAGGAACAAGATGAGGCCGAACAGTGCAAAGAAGCAACATGCAGAAAGTGGGTTTGGTTTGTGTCGTTGCGGCTTTATGTCTCACGGAAATCCTGGTAAGTACAAAGGGCGCAAATAACGCGATAACTAAGGGTGTTAATAGGGGATAAGCGAGGAGATGCAGGAATTAATAGACAACTTGCACAACACGTGTGTGGGCGAGACGGGGGCTTCGAACGGTGAGTTTTTACGAGGGTGATTCCGGTGGTGATAAGGCGGACTTGTAGATATGATAACGGCCGCCAGAAATGGAGATTTCGCTGACGATGAAAACTTCAAATGCTACTTCAAATGTCTGTTCGACCAGATGGGATGCGTAAGTTTTTCTAGATTTGGTAGTTTTTTGTTTTCGTTCCCGGTCGTGCACTTTTACAACGAACGTAATTTTAAAGTAGAAGAAGTGGGCTCATGTGTTGGGTGTATTTTTGGCGATTAGGGGAAAAATGGATTCGTGGAAGTCCCTCGGGAAGATCGATTCGGTTCCTGAGGGATAGACAGACACAAATATTAGGCAGATAATATCTGATGACTGACGATGGTAAAGTAGATCTAGAACCTATGGTATGGATTATCTGTCTAAATATTGTTAAACTTTTGTTTATATCATTATCACTAAATTTATTTCAAAAATTTTGGTTTTGTCTAGATGACTGATGACGGTAAGGTAGATCTAGAGGCTGTAATAGCACTATTGCCTCCAGAAATCCAAGATAAAGCTTCTTCGGTTATAATGACGTGTACTGGCGGTAAGAACTCACATTTTTTGACATTTTTGACATCTCATTAACTACGTTTTTAGTTGGAGCTAATCCATGCGAGACGGCGTGGCTTTCCCATAAGTGTTTCCAAAAAGGAGCTCCTGATGTAAAAATGGTACTTTTTAAAATTTTCCTCTTACTAAATTTTCATTTTCAGATATATTTCCTTCCGTAATAAGCCAACTACTATAACTGCTCAAATATCACTCATACCTTTAGACTATTTTAATGTATGACGTAAATATGTGACACCATTAGTTTAGAATAAAGTTGTCAGTTGAAAGTATTTTTTTCAATGTTTGTTAACAGAATTTTAACTTCCCTGCGTCGATTCTTAATGGATCTGTCCATATACAGGGTGAGTCTATAACAATCTCCTCTAACTATTTTAAGACGTGACCTTACTAAGTTATTTCCATTTCCTTAAGAGTGAATCAATACAATTATAAAAATCTATAAAATTTTATAACACCCTGTATATTATTTCTGCATCTTATTCTCCATACTTTGGTGTACTTCTAAAAAAAAATAAAGAGTCGCAGAATAAATTTAACAAGAAAAAAGTGGGCAAAATATATCCGAAGTTATAAAATATAGAATGTTCTATGTGAAAAAACTATTTATGACTATTTGAAAATCATAATATTTTAGAATTTTTATCTTTTGGAAATATATCCTGAGTTACACTCCCAAATTCAGTCGGGTTCGTTATTACTCGTGAATCACTCTACATAATTCCGTCATCCGTCATAATTCGTTATTATCCGTTATGATCCGTCATAAAACATGCTAATAATAAATATATAAAACTATTCTCGTATCCGTCGTCATCCGTCATAATATCATAATTCGTAAACGTACATCAAAATAAGTAATAACAAGCAAATATTCTGTCTCCCGTCATAATCCGTCATCATCCGTCATGATCCGTTGTAAGAAATAATAATAATGAGTAATAAAAATATTCGTCATTGTCCATCATAATAAATAATAATAACCAAATATTCCGTCATCCGTCATAATCCGTCAACATACGCCATCCGTTAACATCCGTCATCATCTGTTAGAATAAATAATAATAACTAAAGATTTTGACATAATCCGTTATCATCCGTCATATTAAATGATAACGAGTAAATATGTCGTCATCTGTCATCGTTCGTCATAATAAATAATAACATTCATGTAATCCGTTCTACTCCGTCACAATTCATTAATATCCATCATAATCGATCAACGTACGCTAGTGTCCTTTAACAGAGAACAAAATAAATAATACTAAGCAAATATTCCGTCTCCCGTCATAATCCGTTATCGTCCGTCATGAACCGTCGTAATAAATAATAATAATCAAATATTCCGTCATCCGCCATATTCTGTGACATACTCCAACATCTACCAACATCCGTCATGATCCGTCAAAATATAATAACTAAATATTTGATGATTACCCGTCATCATCCGTCATATTCCATCACAATTCATTAACATCCGTCATAATCAGCCAACGTACACCAGTTTCTTTCAACATACGTCAAAATAGATAATACTAAACAATTATTTCGTTCCGTCATCATCCGTCATAATAAATAATAATAACTAAATATTCCGTCAACCATCATCATCATCCGTCTAATTAAAAAATAATAAATAAATACATTTTCCATCGTCATCCTTCAAAATAATTAACTACGCAAATATTCCGTCTACCGTCATAATCCATCACAATTCGTCAGCATCCGTCAACGCACATCTAAATAAGTAATAACAAGCAAATATTCCGTCTCCCGTCATAATCCGTTATCATCCGTCATGATCCGTCGTAATAAATAATAATAATAAATATGTAAAAATATTCCCGCATCCGTCATCATGCGGGAATATTTTTAATATGTCCGTCATTGTCTATTATAATAAATAATAACCAAATATTCGTTCATCCGTCTTAATCCATCATCATACGCCAACATCCGCCAATGTTCGTCATCATCCGTCATCGTTTGCCATAATAAATAATAAGTAATCTGTTTTATTCAGTCACAATTCGTTAACCTCCGTCATAATCAGTCAACGTACATCAATGTCCTTCAACATAAATCAAAATAAATAATAATAACTAAATATTCCGCCAACCATCCATATCATCCGTCAAATTAAAAAATAATAAATAAATAATTATTCCATCGTCATCCATCAAAATAAATAATACTAAGCAAATATTGCGTCATCCGTCATAATCCGTCAACATACGCCAACATTCGCCAATATCCGTCATCATCCGCCAAAATAAGTAATAATAACTAAATATTACGTCATCCGTTATCGTTCGTCCTAATAAGTAATCTATACTCTTCCGTTACAATTCTTCAACATCCGTCAAAATCAGTCAACGTACGTCAGTATCCCTCAACATACGTCGAAATAGATAATACTAAGCAATTATTGCGTTCCGTCATCATCCGTCATAATAAATAATAATAACTAAATATTCCGTTAACCATCATTATCATCCGTCTAATTAAAAAATAATAAATACATAAATTTTCCATTGTTATCCAACAAAATAAATAACACTAAGCAAATCTAACTCACTAATAATCCGTTATCATCCGTCATGATCCGTCAAAATAAATAATAATAACTAAATATTCCGTCAACCGGCATTATCATCTTTCAAATTAATAAATAATAAGTAAATAAATATTCCGTCGTCATCCGTCAAAATAGATAATAATAATCAAATATTTCGTCATTCGTCATAATCCGTGAACATCAGTTATCATCCGTGATCTTTCGTCACAATAAGTAATGCATCCTATTCGTTAACATCCGTTATAATCCGTCAACGTAAGTCAACATCCTTCAACATACGTCAAAATAAATAATATTAAACAATTATTTCGTCAACCGTCATCATTCGTCAAACTAAAAAATAATAAGTACATAAATATTCCGTCATCCGTCATTATCCATTATAATCCGTCATGGTCCATCATAATCCATCATAATCGTGCACATCCGTTATCATCCGTCAACGTTCATCGTAATAAATAATAATAAGTAATTCGTCCTAATCCGTCATAATTCGTTAACATACGTCATAATCAGTCAACGTGAGCTAATATGCTTCAACGTATGTCAAAATAAATAATTCTAAGCAAATATTTCGTCATCCGTCATCATCCGTCAAACTAAAGAATAGTAATTACATAAATATTCCGTCATCATCTGTTATAATCCGTCATCGTCCGTCGTAATAAATAATAATAAATATATAAAAATATTGGCGCATCCGTCATCATGCGGAAATATTTTTAATATATCCGTCATCGTGTATCATAACAAATCATAATAACCAAATATTTCGCCACCCGTCATAATCCGTCAACATACGTCAAAACAAATAATAATAACTAAATATTTCGTCAACCGGCATTATCATCATTCAAATTAAAAAATAACAAGTAAATAAATATCCTGTCGTCATCCGTCAAAATAGATAATAATAATCAAAGATTTCGTTATTCGTCATAATCCATGAACCTCCGTTATCATCCGTGATCTTTCGTCATAATAAGTAATGCATCCTATTCGTTAACATCCGTTATAATCCGTCAACCTACGTCAACATCCTTCAACATACGTCAAAATAAATAATATTAAACAATTATTTCGTCAATAATCATCCTTCGTCAAACTAAAAAATAATAAGTACATAAATATTCCGTCATCCGTCATTGTCTATTATAATCCGTCATCGTCCATCATAATCCATTATAATCGTGCCCATCCGTTATCATCCGTCAACCTTCATCATAATAAATAATAATAAGTAATTCGTCCTAATCCGTCATAAATCGTTAACATACGTCATAATCAGTCAACGTGAGCTTATATCCTTCAACGTACGTCAAAATAAATAATTCTAAGCAAATATTTCGTCATCCGTCATCATCCGTCAAACTAAAGAATAGTAATTACATAAATATTCCGTCATCATCTGTTATAATCCGTCATCGTCCGTCGTAATAAATAATAATAAATATATAAAAATATTGGCGCATCCGTCATCATGCGGAAATATTTTTAATATATCCGTTATCGTGTATCATAACAAATTATAACAACCAAATATTTCGTCACCCGTCGTAATCCGTCAACATACGTCAACATCCGCCAATATCCGTCATCATCCGTCAAAATAAATAATAATAAGTAAATATTTCGTCAACCGGCATTACCATCATTCAAATTAAAAAATAACAAATAAATTAATGTCCCGTCGTCATCCGTCAAAATAGATAATAATAATCAAATATTTCGTCATTCGTCATAATCCATGAACATCCGTTATCATCCGTGATCTTTCGTCATAATAAGTAATGCATCCTATTCGTTAACATCCGTTATAATCCGTCAACGTACGTCAACGTCCTTCAACATACGTCAAAATAAATAATATTATACAATTATTTCGTCAACCGTCATCATTCGTCAAACTAAAAAATAATAAGTACATAAATATTCCGTCATCCGTTATCATATATTATAATCCGTCATCGTCCATCATAATCCATCATAATCGTCAACATCCGTTATAATCCGTCAACGTACGTCAACATCCTTCAAACATACGTCAAAATAAATAATATTAAACAATTATTTCGTCAACCGTCATCATTCGTCAAACTAAAAAATAACAAGTACATAAATACTCCGTCATCCGTCATTATCTATTATAATCCGTCATCGTCCATCATAATCCATCATAATCGTGCACATCCGTTATCATCCGTCAACCTTCATCATAATAAATAATAAAAAGTAATTCGTCCTAATCAGTTATAATTCGTTAACATACGTCATAATCAGTCAACGTGAGCTAATATCCTTCAACGTACGTCAAAATAAATAATTCTAAGCAAATATTTCGTCATCCGTCATCATCCGTCAAACTAAAGAATAGTAATTACATAAATATTCCGTCATCATCTGTTATAAGCCGTCATCATCATAATCATCCGCCAACGGTCATAAAATAAGAAATAATAATAAGTAGTCCGTTCTAATCCGTCATAAATCGTTAACATACGTCATAATCAGTCAACATGAGGTAATATCCTTCAACGTACGTCAAAATAAATAATACTGAGCAAATATTTCGTCATCCGTCATTCCGTCGTAGTAAATAATAATAAGTAATCCCGTCCTATTCGTCATCATCCGTCATAATCCGTTAACGTACACCAGTATCCTTCAACATACGTGTAAATAAATAATACCAAGCAATTATTTCGTCATCCGTCATCGGCCGTCAAACTAAAAAATAATAAATAAATAAATATTCCGTCATCATCCATCAAAATAAATAATATGTATTAATAATAAGTAAATATTCAATATTTCATCTTCCGTCATAATGCGTCATAATCCGTCATAATCCGTCATCCGTCAAAATAAATAATAATAAATTAATATGTCTGGCTTTGATGGTGTTGTCGGTATATTGCGCCTAAAAAACTAAACACCCTGTACATTTGAAAATACTCTCAGACTACGTAACCAAAAACCACACAATTTTTATTACTGACTTTTTGTCTCCAAGAATTTTAATTATTGAATCACCCTGTAATTAAAGAATGTACACGTAAAATTTGAAATAAATAAAAAAAAAACTATAGAGAGTGAGTCAATTAAAGCTATTTTCGATAGCTCAAAGACGACAGTTTCATCAACATAAGCTAAAATTACTTTCGGCTCTACAGACTGTTCTGTTTTTGAGGCGCAAACTACAGCTAAATTTTTGTTTTAATAGAACTCACTGTATATATCTTTACGAACATATTTTATTTTTAAAAACAATGCCACGTTGCCAAGTTATCCCCAATTCGGCCATCAAAAATGGCAGTGGGATTATGAATAAGTTAAGACTTATTATACAGAGTGTTTGTAAAAAAACCTAAAATATTAGAAAATCCTGTACAATATTGCTACATTTTACTCTCGACATCTTGGTGTGTCTGTTAAAGAACACAAAAATCCCAGAACTATCAGCTATATTACTCCAAAAAAGTAGGCTATACAGAGTAATCAAAAAATACTCGAGGTCCATGAGACTGTTTAGTAAGCAAAAAAAAAATATATTTGTTTAAGTTAAAGAGATATCTTGAATAACTCTTCAGAAAATTTCGAAAAATATAGCTAGAAAAAATTCTCGCGTTTTTATTAAATTTTATTCTTGATTTTTTTTATATAATTTGATCAGGCTTTGAAGACAACTGTACACAGCTAAATTCCAACACAAATTTTGTCATCAAATCCGCCCGGAACTTCTGGAACAGCAATAATTTTTTCTTGTTGTCAACTCGAGAACTCGTAAGCACATATTCCGAAGTTTCGACCGTAAATTAAACGGACAATAGAAGAGCAATCCAGTCTGAATTAAACTAACTGAGATTCAACTCTAATTCCAAGATTTATATTCTATAATTGCATTACAACTATTCCAATTAAGGCGGTTTAATGACACACTGAAATATGTAATTTGCCAAAGTGATTTGGAGCTACGACGGAATCACTAAAAGCTCATCTTTGACACACGAAATTTCCCTTTGTCATGATTTTCAAGCAATTTACACTTTTTAAAAATATCCGGCAGCCAACATAGTTGGCGAACCGCAGAATTTCTCGCTCCACAAACTCACCTGGCTATTACGACACCAAGTGGCTATTAATTTTCACTAATCTTTACTACCTGGATGTAAATGTGTTTACCTAACAAAACTCGGTATCGTAGCGCTTATCTGGGACTCGTGTTGTGTAAAAAGGGACACTTAATCCGGTGATAGAGGTGGGACAAGGGTCAGATTTGCAAACATCGTGGGTTTACTCAAGACCTGTTCCAATTCACACAACATAGGCCGTTCCGAAAATACTCTTATTATTTAGATAAAACTATGGTCTTGAAAAAGACTAAATTGAAACTGAAAACTGCTACTCGTTCAAGCGTATTGTAATTTATTAAAACCAAAAAACGACAAAAACTACAACTTTACACTCATTAATTTGTTCATATCGCTAATGTCGCTTTAATATTAACCTTAGACGACTCCTGCAAACATACAATTTCAGACAATTAACTACTTCTGTACTAATTATCTCGTACTGGCAATTTGTGCCTTAATTAATAACCCACATGTAGCAAAGGAAGTTAAAGATAATAAATAAAGATGAGCAGGGAGGAAATGCCAGTCAAAATGTTGGGATTTATCGTAGTGTTACTCGTGTGTTCTTTCACAAAAGTTCTGGTAAATTTAACACGATTTACACAAAAAAAAAATTAGTACACAATTTTTCAGAGCCTACCAGAGGAAATGCAAGAATTAATCGATACCCTTCATCGCACCTGCGTGGGTGAAACGGGAGTCAGCGAAGGTAATTATGATTATTGTTTAATTTACACCATTTGCTGACGCGGAAGTCGTCGCTGAAAAATATTTGCGTAGCAACAATTAACACGACGCAGTTAACACCCAATATGTCACTATTATTGTTAAATATTGTTAAATATTGTTAAACTATTAAAATTTGCAGAGGCTATAGAATGTGCTCGCAAGGGAGATTTCGCCAATGATGGTAAACTGGGTTGTTACATGAAATGCCTGATGGAACAGATGGGTTGTGTATGTTTTTTTTATTTATTTATTTAGTTAACAAATAATGAAAATTTCGTGGCTGTAGGTTTCTGATGATGGTATTATCGACGAAGAGGCGACTATTGCGGTTTTGCCGGAGGAATATCAAGCGAAAGGTGAAAAAGTTATCACGGCATGCGGCACGAAAAGTTAGTTTTTATCGATTCGTCGTCGATTAATTGACTATGCTTAAATTTTGTTGTAGTTGGGGCAGATCCGTGCGAAAATTTGCTTTTGACGAATAAGTGTTGGTATGAGAGCGCACCTGACGTAAGTGATCGATTTAAAAATAAATCCGAAAAATTTTGACTAATTTTAAGACATTTCTATATTACTATAGATGTAGTGGAATTTTACGCCAAAATTTGATCATTGTGCAAACAAAGCGATAAAGTTTGTTGAATTTAGTTGATGTCATCGCATTGTAATAAAGTGAATCGAAAATGAAAAGATTCATTCGCAGTAATAAACACGTTTATAATTCTAAGTGAAAATACATACATGCTTTGTAAATTCATGTTTTACTCGTACATTATAGATAAAACAGACAATTTTTTTATTTTTATTTTTTTTTTTCAGGACTACTTCCTCGCATAGTGGACCAACAAATAATATTTACATTTGTTCCACCATCTGTTTAAATTTTCGTTATTAAAGTTTAATGAAAACAAAAATTGTGTTTTGATCTCAGACAATATTACCCTTTATTTATGACTCTCCAAAAATCCGAAATGGAATGACTTAACGTCCAAATTGTAATTTCAACACGTTCTATTGTGTTGTTTTCATTGATTTTATTTTAATTTTTTTTGGGTATGAAAGCTGAAATTTGAAAAATATTGTACACGAATAATAATCAACAAAAATTATCGACCGTTGAAATATCGAAATTTTTGAAATTTTCAAAAATTCGCAATTCGCAGCCATTTTTTCGAAAATGTTGCTTCGTGACCATCAACATGCCATATTTTTGGAATCAGCGTGTCGAGATCCACGTCCCTGAATTTTTTCATAATTTTTTTCTACGATTGTTCAATTTTTTCTTTTTTTGATTCGAGAAGTTGAAAAATCTAAAAACTAAAAAATCGAAAAAAGTTTAACAATCGAAAATCGGTTTTTCGATTGTTCATCTTTGATTTTTTAAATCTTCGATTTTCCAATTTCCAAATTTTTCAATTTTGCAATTCTTGGATTTCTCAATTATCCGATTTTCCGATTTCTTTAATTTTCGATATTTTGCTTTTTCGATTTTTCAATTTTTCGTCAATTCACTTTTTCGAGTTCTTGATTTCCGGTTTTTATATTTCTCAAAGTTTTCATTTTATACTTTTCGTTTTTTCATTTTTGATTTTTCAATGTTGCAATGTTACAATTTTTTTTTAATTCGAGAAGTTGAAAAAACGAAAAACTAAAAAAATTGGAAAAAATTTAAAAATCGAAAATCCGTTCTACGATTGTTCATTTTTCCGATTTTTAATTTTCATTTCTGATTTTATACCACAATTTTTCGTGTTTTCATTTCTTTTAATTTTTCAATGTTTCTTTCTTTCAATTTTATAATATTTCTTTTGTTCAGTTTTTCAAATTTTCATTCTTTGATTTTTCAGTTTTTCGCTTTTCCAATTTTGAAATATTTGAATTTTGCAATTTCTAGATTTTTCAATTTTCTTATTTCTTTAATTTTCGATTTTACAGTATTTCATTTTTTCGATTCTTTAATTTTTCGTTTCTTCAGTTTTTCAAAGTTTTCATTTTGTAGTTTTGTTTTTTTTGATTCGAGAAGTTGAAAATGGAAAAACTAAAAAATAAAAAAAAAGAAAAATCAATAAACTGATAAAACTGGAAAATTGAAAAATCCAAAAAATTAAAAATTTCACATTGAAAGAAAGGAAAATTATAAAATAAGTATATTGAAAAGCCGAAAAATATAAAACATAAAGAAAATGAAAAACCGAAACCACAAATTTGTATATCGAAAAACTGAAGAAGTGAGAAATTGAAAACTGAAAACTTGTGAAATTGCAAATCGAAAAATTGCAAAATCTAAAAATTGAAATATGTATCTCAAAGTTGGAAAATCGAAAACTAAAAAATTTAATGAAAACTGAAGTTAAATTATATTAAAATTGAAAAAACAAAGAAAAAATGAAAAATTAGAAAATCGAAGAATTGAAAAATCAGATTGAAAATTTGAAAAATTGAATAAATCAAAAATTATAAAATCGAATATAATTTTCCGTTTATTCAATTTTTGAAATTTGAAATCTTTGATTATCGGTTCGTCGATTTTCCAATTCTGAAATTTTTGGATTTCGCAATTTTCCGATTTCTGTAATTTTCGATATTTCGATTTTACAATATTTCATTTTTTTGATTTTTCAATTTTTCCTTTCTTCAGTTTTTCAAGTTATTGATTTTCAGTTTTTATATTTTTCAAAGTTTTCATTTTAGACTTCGTTTTTTTTGCAATTTTTCTTGTTTTTCATTTGAGAAGTCGAAAGGTCGAAAACTAGAAAATCGAAAAACTGATAAAATGAGAAATCGCAAAATCGAAAAATCTAAAAATTAAAAAAATTCACATTGAAAAAAAGGAAGATTATGAAATCAGAATATTGAAAAACCGAAGAATTGAAAAAATAAAGAAAATAAAAAACTGAAGCGACAAATTGCGGATCGAAAAAATGAAAAATTGAAAAATTAAATATTGAAAAATTGCAAATCGAAAAATTGCAAAATCTAAAAATTGAAATATCCCAAAGTTGGAAAATCGAAAACTGAAAAATTTAAAATCTAAAAATGAAAACTCCGAAGTTACGTAACTTAACATTGAAGAAACAAAAAAAAAATGAAAAATTGGAGAATCGAAGTATTCAGAATCAGAAATTGAAAATTTGAAAAATATAATTTTCCGTTTATTCAATTTTTAAAATTTTTAGTCTTGATTTTTGAATTTTTCGATTTTCCAATTTTTAAATCTTTAATTTTGGAATTTTTGGATTTTTCAGTTTTCCTATTTCTTTAATTTCCGATATTTCGATTTTACAATAAAATTTTGACATTTTCGGAACTCAACTACATACATTTTCTTGTAGATTTCGAGCTCTAGAACTCAAATCCGGTTCCGGTTTTTTGATACCTGCAACCGTTTTTCCAGAATCGACCGTTGAAGTATCGAAATTTTTTAAATTTTCAAAAATTCGCATTTCGCAGCGATTTTTTCGAAAATGTTGCTTCGTGAGCATCAACATGCCATAATTTTGGAATCAGCGTGTCGAGATCTACGTCCCTGAATTTTTTCATAATTTTTAGACAACTTTTTTAAAATTGAAATTTTTAAATTGTCCCTTTTTCTTCAAATTTAGCAAAAATTTTGACATTTTCGAAACTCAACTAAATACATTTTTCTTGTAGATTCTTCCAAAAAAAGTCAGAAAACTTCGAAATTTTTTTTAGAGTTTTCAAAAAAAATCAGGACCCCCATGATTCTTTTAAATTTTCAAAAAAAGAGGAAACTGTGAGGGGCCCCCAACATTTTTTCAAATTCTCAGAAATCCCTAAGATTCTTTCAAATTCTTCAAAAAAAACGTACGAGGACCCCAAAAATTTTTTCAAATTTTTTACCATCAAGATTCTTTCTAATCCTTCAAAAAGACAACCATCAGGTGCCCCGGAATTCGTTCAAATGCTTCCAAAAAAGTCGGGAGCCCCTGAAATTTTTTAGAGATTTAGAAAAAAAATTAGAAACCTCCAAGATTCCTTTTATTTTCAAAAAAAAGAAGAGATGCCCCAAGATTTTTTCAAATTTTTTAGAGATCCCAGAATTCGTTTAGGTCCTTCTGAATTATTCTGTTTTTATCGTCACAGTATAACTAAATAATAAATCAAAATCACAAAGTGCTAACTTTCCGTCGTGTTTAATTAAATATTCATAAGTAAATGATTGTTAAAGTCACGAACTGTCTTTACAAAAATAATTACCGTATGTAAATACAAACGTTTGAGGCATGAAAACCCATATCATGAGTACAGACATTGTATACAAATTTAATTACAGATATTATAAAGTACAAAATCAATAGAAAAGTTGGAATTGCAGGACATTAACTGCTACAAAGGTAATTTTAATTTTATTAACACTCATAACAGATAAAACAAATATTTTAATTTTTCTTAGAATTAGAAATTATGAAGAAACTATTTACGTCTTTAATTGTTTATTCAGTCAACTAACCACGTCATTAAATAAAATCAACTCTAATGAGGGAAACCATTGTTGAAAATTCTCAGTATGCGAACTATAACTCGTACTTTACGGTTGAAAACAATTCTAACTAATCTAGATTTTCCATGGAGAAAAATAAAAATTCAAGAACAAATCCATCTACTTACATCTGTAGGTTTTTCCAGTCAATAAATCGTTAAAAAAAATAACAAATAGATTTCAAAGAGCTAACAACGAACTAATATTGTTAAAACATGTTATCAGCCAGTTTTAAAAATTGATCACGCATTAAATAAAAAACTCTTTATCTTTGCTCTACTTTACTTTTAAAAAATGTACAATGTATACAATCACATAAAAAAATATGTCGACAATGCGGTTCCTCCAAAATCCTCGTCTTTACACCCACCCTAAATGAGTTCGTAGACCTGCAACAAATTTCACATTACACAATTCCATCCGTCCGTAAATACTTCAAATTTCCAGCTTAATCTAGAAGAGTGTATTCAGCGATTACATTATTTCGAAAACTTACGTCTGGATTGCTTTCCATGTAACATTTATGGGTCAACCAGGCACTCTCGCAGGGGTTAGCACCCACTGAAAACCAAATCTATTAGCCCGTGTTTCACTAAAACGTCGACTCACTTTTAGCGCCGCATTTCCGAATGATGGGTTCGGAGACTTTCCTCATTTCGTCGGGAAGAAGGGCGATGGTAGCTTCCACATCCACGACACCATCGTCGCTTATCTAAAACCAAAAATTGACTGACAAGGAAGCTTGGATTTGATGAGAACTTACGCAGGCCGTCTGGGTCAAAAGACACTTGATGTAGCATTTGAGTTTGTCGTCGTCGATCATTTTTTTCTCTTTGTTGACTCTAACAATGAGGTCTTCAGATACTCCTGTTTCTGCCACACAAGTCCCGTGTAACATGGTTACCAACTCTTGCATTTCCTCTGGAAGGCACTAATTTTTTGGATAATTAAATCTTTTGTGTGATTTTTTCGGACAATACTTACAAGAACAGTTGGAAGGTAGAGGCACAAAGCGAAAATAATGCTATATTTCACCATTTTGCCGTTGAGTGAGTAGTTTACTGAAGAGTGTGGATATTTGCAAAGCTTTTATATTAAAAAAATAAGAACAAACTTCCTCGTGGATACGCGAAAATTGTATGCATAACCGCATAATTATTAGGTGTGGAAATTCAGACATTGTAACAAGACGCCCCAAAATTGGCATTCTGGTTGTCACAACTGGATGGCGAATAAACCTTGACCGTTATGTAAATGGTAATTGAGGGTTAGGCTATCCCGCATTTCTCAAAATTGTCACAAACCGTGGCGAAGAAATTGCTTTTGGTTAAATTCTAGATACGGATTTGAATCACCTAATCATATAATTATTGTTAACTAGGTTTCGCTTGAAATTTGTCTGCGGTTTTACAAATGTGATCTCAGGAATCAAAAAAATTAAAAATGTGACCCAATTTATGGAATAATACGCCTAAACATTGTCTAAAAATGTATTGATTATGACTAATGTTATTTCCGTTTTGTCAGAGAATCAAAGGTTCAACAGCCTGGAAAATTTTAAAACACATGCCTCTGAATTTGATAAAGCTTAATTGCTGCGATTATTGTTTTGTAATGTGAGTTAAAAAATTCCAAATCGATTTGGCGTCAGTGTGTTAACAAACTCTTGTTTTATTAAAAAATTGGTCGAAGGTTATCAAGAGAATTTTCCTCGCCCCTGAAGCGCAGCCCTACAAATCCCGCTTCTTTGAAAAATTATAAAAATGTTTGCGATTTTTGTTTTCTGATGAAATTTTTCAATGTCTCAAATTTTCGATTTGCAATTTTTAGTTTCGGTTTTTTATTTTTTTTTTTTATTTTTACAGTTTTTCACTTTTTCAGTTTTACGGTTTTAGAATGTTTCCATTATTGGATGCTAAAACTTTTTCATTTATTCGTTTTTTAAATTTTGGCTTTTAATTTTTCAATTTCTCGATATTAAATTTTTCAATTTTTCGACTTTGTTACAGTTTTTCGAGTTTACAATTTTGACGATTTCGTAATTTTTCGATTTCACAATTTTTGGGTTTTCCAATTTTTCGAGTTGATTCGTTCTTTCTTTTATCCAATTTTTGGATTTATTAATTGTTTCTATTTTTAAGTTTTATAGATTTTTAGTTTTGCAGTGTTTCAATCTCTCGTTTCTTTGGTGCTTTTCGAGTTTTGCAATTTTTCGATTTTTAAGTTTCAATTTGTAATTTTTCAATATCTGAATATGTACGTTTTCATTTTTTCCATCTTTCAATGTTAGAGTTTACAATTTTGAGGATTCTTTGATTTTTCGATTTTACAATTTTTGGGTTTTCCAATTCCATGATCTTTCGATTTTACTATTTTCAGCTACTGATTTCAATCCATCGTTGTTTTAGTGCTTCGATTGACAAATATTCGATTTTTCACTTTTTGGAGTTTTGCAATTTTTCAATTTTTCGATTTTCTAATTTTTCAGTGTTTTTTGGGTTTTCCAATTCCACGATTTTTCAATTTTACAATCTTTGCATTTTCTATTTTTCGATTTTTAGTTTTTCAATGTTTCAGTCTTCCATTTCGATTTGCAATTTAGGATTTTGCAATTTTTTCAAATTTTTTAATTTTTCGATGTTCTTATTTTATTATTTTTCTTTTTTCAATTTTAGATTTTTCAGTGTCTCAATTTTTCATTTCTTTAATTTTTGATTTGCAATTTCGTTTTTTCAGTTTTTTCAGTTTTTCGATTTATAATTTTTCGATTTTTCAAAGTTGTTATTTTATTATTTTCCTTTTTTCAAGTTTAGATTTGTCGGTGTCTCGATTTTTCAATTTTTCATTTCTTATATTTTTAGTTTGCAATTTTTCTAGTTTTCATTATAAATTGTATGTCATAACAATTATGGTTTTTAAAATTATTCACTTTTTCAATTTTACGGTTTTAGAATTTCTTCATTTTTCAATTATTGAATTTTAAACCTTTTTCAATTTTTCAACTTTTAAATTTTGGCTATGAATTTCTCAATTTCACAATATTTAATTTTTCAAAATTGCGATCTTCCGATGTTACATTTTTTCGAGTTTGCAATTTTGGCGCTTCTATAATTTCTCGAATTTACAATTTTTGAGTTTTCAAATTTTCTTTAGCGAATTCGTTTTTTATTATTTCCAATTTTTTGATTCATTAATTTCATTCCATTTTTAGGTTTTTTGATTTTTAGTATTCCAATATTGCAACCTCTCATTTCTTCAGTCCTTCGATTGGCAATTCTTCGATTTTTCATTTTTTCAAGTTTTGCAATTTTTCATTTTTTTCATTTTTTCATTTTTTGATTTTTAAATTTCGATTTCTGATTTTTTATTGTTTCAATATTTAATTTTTTTCCATCTTTCAGTATTAGTCTTTTAATTTTACAATTTTGACGTTTCCATGATTTTCCGATTTTGCAATTTTCGGATTTTCCAATTTTTCAGTTTGAGTCATTGTTTCTTTTTTCCAATTTTCAATTCATTTTTTTTCGATTTTTAAGTTTTTTCAATTTTCAGATTTTCAATGTTTCAGTTTCTTCATGTTTCGATTTGCAATTTGCGATTTTCCAGTTTTTCGATTTTTCAATTTTCTCCGATTTTTCAGTATTTCAATTTTTCAATTTTCTCCGACTTCTTAGTTTCTCGATTTTTAATTTTTCGGTTTATCAATGTCTTGATTTTACAATTTTTCTTTTTTTCAATGTAAAATTTTTCAATTTTTTGGTTTTTCAATTTTTAGAATATTTAATTTTTCTCTTTTTCAATTTTAGATAGTTCAGTGTCTCGATTTTTCAATTTTTCATTTCTTCAATTTTTGATTTGGAATTTTTCTAGTTTTCACTTTAAATTGTATGCCATAACAATTATAATTTTTCAAATTATGTATACACTTTTTCAATTTTACGGTTTTAGAATTTTTCCATTTTTCAATTATTATTGGATTTCAATTTTTCATGATCTCGATATTTAATTTTTCAATTTTTCGATCTTCCAATGGTACAGTTTTTCGACTACAATTTTGACGTTTCCGTAATTTTTCGATATTACAATTTTTGAGTTTTCCAATTGTTCGAATCGATACTTTTTTTTTTCTTTCCAATTTTGCAATTCAATATTTTTTTTTATTTTTAAGTTTTTCGATTTTTAAATTTTCAGTGTTTCAGTCTCTCGTTTCTTCAGTGTTTCGATCGGCAATTCTTCGATTTTTCACTTTTTCGAGTTTTGCAATTTTTCATTTTTTCGATTTCTAAATTGCGACTTCTAATTTTTCAATTTCTCGATATTTAATTTTTAATTTTTCCATCTTTCAGTGTTACAATTTTTCGATTTTACAATTTTCACGAATCAATGATTTTTCGATTATAAGTTTTTTGGGTTTTCCAATTCCATGAGTTTTCAATTTTACAGTTCATTAATTTTTTTGGATTTTTAAGATTCTTCGATTTTTGATTTTTCATGCTTCAATTTGCAATTTTTCGAATTTACAAATTTTCGATTTTCAACTTTTCAATTTTCTCCGACTATTTAGTATTTCGATTTTTAATGTTTCGGTTTTTCGAAGTTTTGATTTTATAATTTTACTTTTTTTTGTGAAATTTTTCAATTTTTGGATTTTTCAATTTTTCGATTTCCAATTTTTGATTTGTAATTTTTCTATTCACTTTTTCAATTTTACGGTTTTAGAATTTTTCCATTTTTAGTTATTGGATTATAATTTTTCATATTCTCGATATTTAATTTATCAATTTTTTGATCTTCCAATGTTGCAGTTTTTCGACTTTACAATTTTAACGTTCCCATAATTTTTCGATTTTACTTTTTTATGTTTTTCATTCTTTCGAGTCGATTTATTTCTTCGTGCTTCGATTTGCAATTTTTCGATTTTCCAGTTTTTCGATTTTGCAATTTTTGGTTTTTTCAGTGTTTCAATATTTCATTTTCTTCGATTTTTTAATTTTTCGATTTTTAGTTTTTCAGTTTTCCAAAGTTCTGATTCTATAATTTTTCTATTTTCCAATGTGAAATTTTTCAATTATTGAATTTTAAAATTTTTTCATTTTTTCAAATTCTCGATATTTAATATTTCAACTTTTTGATCTTCCACTGTAACAGTTTTTCGACTTTACAATTTTGACAATTCCATAATTTTTCGATTTTAGGATTTTTGGGTTTTCCAATTTTTCGATTCATTAAGTTTTTGTCGATTTTTAGTTCTTCACTGTTTCAATCCGTCGTTTCTTCAGTGGTTCGATTGGCAATTCTTCGATTTTTCAATTTTTCAATTTTTAAATTTCGATTTGTAATTTTTCATAGTTTTTCGATTTTACAATTTTGACAATTCCATCATTTTTCAATTTCATAATTTTTGGGTTTCCCAAATTTTCGATTAAATTTGTTTTTTTCTCCTTTCCAATTTTTCGATTCATTTTTTTTTCGATTTTGTAGTTTTTTATATTTTTAGTTGTTCAGTGTTTCAGTCTTTCATTTCTTCATGCTGCAATTTAGAATTTTTCGATTTTCCATTTTTTAGATTTTACAATTTTTAGTTTTTTCAGTTTTCCGGTTTTTCAATTTTCTCCGGTTTTTCAGTTTTTCCGTTTTCAATTTTTCGATTTTTCAATGGAAAAATTGCAAAACTGTAAACTTGAAAAATAAAAAAACGCCCAAAGCATAAAATGGAAACTTTGAAAAATGTAAAAATTTTAAATGAAGAACTTGAAATCGAAAGACTAAAAATTGAGAAACTTAAAAATCGAAAGTGCAAAATCGAAAAAAAATCCCCTTTTATTTCGATTTTTCAATTTTCGGTATTGTAAAATCCAAATATTGAAATATTGGATAATTGAGATATCAAAAAAATGCAAAATGATAAATTTTAAAATCAGAAAACCGAGGAATTGAAAAATCAAAGATTAAAAATTAGAAAAATTTAATGAACGAAGAATTATCAAATCAAAAGAAACATTGGAAAATAAAGAAAATGAAAAAACGAAAAATTGTGATATATAATCGAGGAAATTTAATATTGTTCCTGTGGTTGTATCCACTATGGACTATATATTAGTCTGCTGGATAAATAAAGAAATTAAAAAATTAAATTAAAAATCAAAATTAAAAAATTTGGAAAGCGAAAAATACAAAACAAGAAAAATTAAGGAAACGAAAAACTGAAAATTTGGAAGTCGAGAAATTGAAAAATTGATATAATTAATGTCGAAAAAACGAAGAATTATGAAACCAAAATATTGAAAAATGATAAAACGAAAAAATCTGATATGAAAAAATTGTAAAGTAGCAGAAAAATTCCGAAAATGTATAAGATTTGTTTTTGTATATTTCCAAATTTTCGGGAAAATAGAGTGAGTCATTCTTGATTTTAATCAGTACAATAAATTTCTTCATTGATTAATTTTTTTGAGTCATTAAGTAATTCTAAAATCTATAAGTGAATCGATTTTTCAGTTACTCTTCCATGTTTCAATTTTTCAGTTTTTCAATTTTTAAGTTCTCCGATATGTCAATTTTGGAATTTTGTAAATTTTTCATTTTTCAATTTTTTTATTCGATTCTCGATCTTTATACTTTTCGACTTCGGTTTTTGAATTTTTCGATTTTTCGCTTTGCCAATTTTTCGTCGTTTCGGTTTTGGAATTTTTCAGTTTTTCAATTCTTCAATTTTCCGATTTTTCAATTTTTAAATTTTAGATTTCTGAATGTTTCAATTTTTCGAATCCAAAAACGGAAAAACCCAAAATTGTAAAATTGTAAACCCAAAAATAAAAAAACGAAAAAGTATAAAATGAAAACTGAAAAATTTTAAAACTGTAAATCGAGAACAACTGAAGAAACGAACAATTCAAAAATGGGAAGATTATAAAAAGAGAAACTTAAAAATCGAAAAAGCGCAAAATTGAATCAACGAAAAATTATAAAATCGAAAGAAACATTGAAAAAATAAAGAAAATGAAAAAACGAAAAATTGTGATATAAAATCGAGGAAATCAAAATTAAAAAATTCGGAAAGTGAAAAATAAAAAGCAAGAAAAATTAAGGAAACGAAAAACTGAAAATTTGGAAGTCGAGAAATCGAAAAATTGATATAATTAATGTCGAAAAAACGAAAAACTATGAAACCAAAATATTGAAAAATGAAAAATTAAAGAAAATGAAAAAACGAAAAAACGTGATATCGAAAAAATTTAAAAATCCAAGAAAAATTCCGAAAATTTATAAAATTTGTTTTTGTGAATTATATTTTGTTATGTAATACTGGTAATAACAGTACTGAATTTCCAAATTTTCGGAAAAATAGAGTGAGTCATTCTTGATTTTAATCAGTACAATAAATTTCCTCATTGATTAATTTTTTTGAGTCACCCTGTGTAAGTAATTCTAAAATCTATAAGTGAATCAATTTTTCAGTTACCCTTCCATTTTTCAATTTTTCTATTTTTAAGTTCAACGATATTTCAGTTTTTCGAATTTTGTAAATTTTGGATTTTTCAATTTTTTTATTCGATTCTCGATTTGTCGACTTCGGTTTTTGTAATTTTCGATTTTTCGCTTTACCAATTTTTCGTCGTTTCGGTTTTGGAATTTTTCAGTTTTTCGATTCAATTTTCCAATTTTTCGATTTTTAAATTTTAGATTTCTGAATTTTTCAGTTTTTCGAATCCAAAAACGGAAAAACCCAAAATTGTAAAATTGTAAGCCCAAAAATAAAAAAACGAAAAATTTTAAAACTGGAAATCCAGAACAACTGAAGAAACGAACAATTCAAAAATGGGAAGATTATAAAAAGAGAAACTTTAAAATCGAAAAAGCGCAAAATTGAATCAACGAAAAATTATAAAATCGAAAGAAACATTGAAAAAAGAAAGAAAATGAAAAAACGAAAAATTGTGATATAAAATCGAGGAAATCAAAATTAAAAAATTCGGAAAGTGAAAAATAAAAAGCAAGAAAAATTAAGGAAACGAAAAACTGAAAATTTGGAAGTCGAGAAATCGAAAAATTGATATAATTAATGTCGAAAAAACGAAAAACTATGAAACCAAAATATTGAAAAATGAAAAATTAAAGAAAATGAAAAAACGAAAAAACGTGATATCGAAAAAATTTAAAAATCCAAGAAAAATTCCGAAAATTTATAAAATTTGTTTTTGTGAATTATATTGTTATGTAATACTGGTAATAACAGTACTGAATTTCCAAATTTTCGGAAAATAGAGTGAGTCATTCTTGATTTTAATCAGTACAATAAATTTCCTCATTGATTAATTGATTTTTTATTCGATTCTCGATCTTTCTACTTTACAAAAATAAAAAAACGAAAAAGTATAAAATGAAAACTGAGAGATTTAAAAACTGAAAATCGAGAATTTGAAAAACTAAAGAAACGAAAAATTCACAAATCAACGAAAAATTATGAAATCGAAAGAAGCATTGAAAAAATAAAGAAAATGAAAAATAAAAATAAAAAAAAATGAGGGAACAAATAACTGAAAAATTATGATTTTGGTATGAAACCAAAACATTGAAAATGAAAAATTAAAGAAAATGATGGGAAAATGGAGTGAACCAATCTTGATTTTAATCAAATAATAAATTGACTCATTGATTAATTTTTTTGAGTCACCTTATATAAGTAATTCTAAAATCTATTAGTGCACAATTATAGAGCCATAATATTTTGCATATTTCATAGAAGACGACGCCATCAGAGTACAAAAAAATAAAAAAAAATTCAGAGCATTCGATTTTGCAGTTTCAAACTTAAATTGAAAAATATTATACAATTTTGACTTTTTTCCAAAAATCAACGTCTAGAGTAAAATTTTAAACATCTACACATATAACATTTCACAGCAATCGGTCCAGTAGTTTCGGATTATCTATCTAATAAAAACTGTTTAAAAAGTCTAGCAATTTCGACGACAATAATAATAAGAAGTAGTAAAACTGAATGCTAATTCTCAGCCGGCAATGTTTTATCGGTGCTTAGTAATAAGCAGATAAAAATTCTTTAAATAACCACCACACTCATTTTTAAGTAATAGCGCAGCGATAAAATAGTTAAAAAACCCATTACCGACGTCGGACAGTGCTTTACCTTACCCAAACTTATTACAAACACACCTATTAACAGCTTTAATAAACCTTGAATTATCTGTGTGAGCGTAAACATGTCAAAATCTACTACTACAAAAGACTACTCCTTTAAATGTGGTCGTCCAGTCGACCACACGTTATCTACCAGGTGTTTTTCACTGTGATATAAATGGTTGAAGTGTTTTTCGAAGTAAGGTGCTTTTTGTGACTACCGTCAAGTGTGTGTGGTGTTCAATACGTGTCATCTTACAATTTTTTCAGAAAATTTTGACTAAGCGTCGAGTGCAGCCATTTATGGGAAAAGTGGACCGGAAATTAGTGCATCCCCAGTTGAAAGCCAATTACTTAACAAAACTATTTTTCTGGTAAGAATAAATTAAAACTATTGATTTAACCCTTGACTAACCTCTATTAATATATTTTAAGTTTACTTGGAAGCTAGTACTAAGTACTTTAACTGCTTTTGGGCTATTTAGTGAAAATGCGTTGCAATGCCGGCTAACAAGACAAAACAGTTGCGCTTTTATGAAACTCGATGGTAAAATTTTGTTGGTGTCACATGTGTTCAATAAATGTCTTCACTTCCAGTTGGACCTTTCCAACACTTGTAAAGGGATTCACTGACGGTTTTAAAGAAAGCGACGTTTTACACTTGTTACCACAGCACGAATCTTCCACCCTAGGGGACAAACTAGACAAAGAATGGTCTCAAGAAGTCTCCTCGAAGGAGAAACCCTCATTATGGAAACCCTTGTTGAACATATTCGGCATGGAATTCTTAAAAGTCGGGCTACTCATGTTCGTCAACGAATTTCTGATAAAGTTAGTACCAAATAAACGTAGTTCCATTTCTATTTCCACGTCTTCAGGTTGTCGCAGCCCATTCTGATATGGAGACTCATCAACACCCATACCGAACATGGTGGAAAAGAAAATGAAGCTTACATTTACGCTTTTTTGATAGTTCTATCGTCATTCCTAGACGTGATTCTGTACAACTGGAACGTTTTCAATTTTCGAGTGTTAGCTTTAAAGATAAGAGTGGCTTGTAGTTCTCTTATTTATAGGAAGTCGCTTAGACTAAACAAAAACGGTGTCAATAAAACATCAACAGGTCGGATAGTCAATTTGTTATCGAGCGATCTCAATCGCTTCGACAAACTCTTCATACATATACATTACCTGTGGGCGGCACCGGTGGAATCCGTCGTTATTTTTTACTTACTGTATGTAGTTTTGGGGTTGAGTGCGACTGCAGGAGTGGGAATATTTGTCATATTTGTACCAATTCAAAGTAAGATTTTTATTTTTTTTTGGTTACTATATTATCAATTAATTTTGACAAAATTAATCAAACGTGTTTCAGTTCTCATGGGAAAAAAGTACTCCGACTTTCGACTCAAAACGGCTTTAAAAACTGACGACAGAGTGCGTTTGCTGAACGAAATCGTGTCTGGAATCCAAGTCATCAAAATGTACGCTTGGGAAAAATTTTTTTATAAATTTACCAACAGTCTTAGGAAGTGCGAAATCCACTACATTCGAGCGACGGCATACTTAAAGGCCATCCAGAACGCCTTTAACAAATTCGTAGGCACAGGGGCGCTTTTCCTGTGTATTGTCATCTACGTGTTCACCGGTAACCACGTGCACTCCCAGTACGTCTTCGTTATCAAATCGTTCTATAACATTCTTAAGCAAAACATCACGTTGGAGTTCGCCGAAGCTATCAAAGATTTAGCTGAAAGTTTCGTGGCAGTTGAACGGATCACGACGTTTCTCTTGTCGGATGAAATAGTGTCGAAAAAATCGGAAAAAACACACCCATCAGTCGGACTAATCCTGGACAAAGCATCAGCCAAGTGGTCCTCATCAAGCTGTGACACTTTATCCAATATCAGTTTGATAGCGAGAAAGGGGCAACTGGTAACTTTCGTCGGAACGGTTGGTAGTGGAAAAACTAGCCTCATCAACGTGATTCTCCAAGAACTAGCGCTAGACCGAGGTACGTTGTCCATCAAAGGGCGAATTTCCTACGCGTCGCAAGAACCGTGGCTTTTTGCCACCACCATCAAGGAAAACATTTTGTTCGGACTGCCTCTAGACTCGGAAAAGTACAACGAAGTTGTCAAAGTTTGCGCTTTGAGTCACGATTTTACGCTGCTGCCCTTTGGGGACAAAAGCGTCGTTGGGGATAAAGGGATTACGTTGAGCGGGGGACAAAAGGCTAGAATTAGTCTAGCCAGAACGGTCTACAGAAATGCAGACATCTACATTTTGGACGATCCTCTAGCAGCTGTTGACGCTTCAGTAGGCAAACAACTCTTCGAACAGTGCATTTCGGGTTATCTCAAAGACAAGTGTGTCATTTTGGCCACCCACCAAATCCAGTACTTGCAGAAATCCGACTGGATTTATTTGCTGAAAGGTGGGAGGGTTGTGGCTGAAGGGGACTACGAACACATACGAAACTGTGGCGAAGATTTCGCCACACTGTTACAAAAGAGGGTGGACATTGAAGACAATTTGAATGACGATGGGGACAGGAAAGTGTGTCCAGAAGAAACTGAAGAAAGGTTTAAAGAAAGTAAATGTTGTGGGAAGATTTCGGTGAAGGTGTACGCAGAGTACTTACTTTCCGGGGGATATTGTTACTTTACAACACTCATACTATTGTTTGTGCTGTCGCAAAGTACCCAGAGTGGTACCGACTATTTCCAATCATTTTGGTAAGTATAACTCGTTTTTAGTTGTAATCAAACGTCACACTGTTGTAGGGTCAATATTGAAGAAAGTACCAACAGAACTGTCACCCAGTCGGCATTTTTTACCCCAAATAACTGTATTTATATTTATTTGGGTCTGATAACTTTGGTACTTTTAACATCGATTATATCTTCCATTTCGTTCTATTCTTACTATATGACGGCCTCTATCAACCTCCATAATATGATGTTCTCTGCCATTATGAAAACCCAGCTTCAATTTTTCTACACCAATCCAACCGGCTCTATATTGAATAGGTTTTCTAAAGACTTAGCAAATGCAGACACTAATGTACCGAAGTACTTGATCGACTCTTTGCAGGTAACTTACACGTCAGTAGAACATCTAATAAATGATCAGTTTTAGAACGGATTGAGCGTGTTATCAATATTTATCCTCGTAGGAATCGTCAATCCTTGGATGCTTCTGTGTTCCGTTTTCTTGATAGTGCTCTTCTACTTCATCCGAATCGTCTACTTATCAACGTCTCGAGAACTAAAGAGACTAGAAGCCATTAGTAAGTACCCAGTGCGAAATCTTCGGCAATAACTAGTGATTTAGGTCGCAGCCCTGTCTACTCCCACCTCACCGAGTCTCTCCACGGCCTAGAAACCATCCGAGTCTTCGAAAAAAACACCCAACAGAAACAAACTTTTGAACGCTTCATTGACAACAACACTGCCGTTTTTTACTTGTATATCTCAATCGCTACAACTTTCCGCTTCTGGTTGAGCCTCTTCTGCTCCTTCTATGTCACTCTAGTCACCGCTAGCTGCTTCTGGGGCGCCAAAATCTACGGCGGCAACCTCGGACTGATAATAACCCAAGCCACCAATCTCGCTGAACAGATTAACTGGGGCATGATCCAGTGGAGCGAGTTCGAGAACGAAATGACTTCCGTTGAAAGACTCATCCAATACAAAAACATCGAGCCTGAGGAAGACACCGCAAAAGACAAAACGTGGCCCTCACTGACTTCCATCGAGTTCAAGAACGTCTCTCTACGATACAAGGAAGACATTCCGCCTGCACTAGACAATCTTTCTTTCGCTATAGCCCCGAAAGAAAAAGTCGGAATAGTTGGAAGAACCGGTGCCGGGAAAACCTCGATCATCTCGGCTTTGTTCCGTCTGGTGAAGTTCGAAGGGACGATTCTTGTAGGTGGGGTTAACATCAAAGACTTGTCACTGGATAGTGTGAGGTCAAAAATTTCTATCATCCCTCAAGAGCCGGTTCTGTTTTCTGGAACGGTTCGACAAAATCTGGATCCGTTTGGGAGGTTCACAGATGGCGAATTGTGGACGGTTTTGGGTGATTTGGAACTAAAACAGTTCGTGACGGAGCTTCCTGGAGGACTGGAAGGTTGCATTCTTGAAAGGGGGTCCAATTTGAGTGTGGGTCAAAGGCAGCTGTTTTGTCTAGCGAGGGCTTTGCTGAGGAGGAATGACATTTTGGTGCTCGATGAAGCTACAGCAAGCTTGGATTACAAAACTGACTCGTTGGTACAAAGCACTCTTAAAAATAAGTTGGTGGATTGTACCGTGGTGATCATTGCACATAGACTGTATACGATTATGGACTGTGATAAAGTACTGGTGATGGAGGCCGGAAGGACTTCGGAGTTTGGGCACCCGTTCAAGCTTTTACAGAATGAAAATGGGGCTCTATATGATCTGGTTTCCAAGTTGGGGACAAATATGGCGAAGCATCTCAAGGAGATTGCGGAAAAGGTGACTTAATTGCTGTATGTAGTTGCAAAAATTACACCTTTTTTGTTTTCAGAATTATTTTAAACGTCACGAAAGTAGTCGTTTGTGACACTAGGAAATCCTGACAATTAATAAAATAGCAACTATTTTTTTATACGAAATGTACATATAAGTTATAATAAATGTAACAAAATCTACAGTGTTTATCAGTTATTGCTTTTATAGTGACAATTTTTCTATCTATTCTCTATTCAGTGAAAGTTTACCAACCCTTAAATGTGGTTCTTTTCTTTGTATTTCTATAGTAAATGCGTGGGAATTGACAGTTAATTTTGTTGTTTGTTGTTAAGACAAGACTGATTTTCACAAATGACATATCCTGTAAGAAAAGAGAGGGTGGGTGGGCGGGGCTAATACCTGCTAAGATAATACGAAAATTTAAAACATCAAAAGATTCTAAATCAAAATTCAAAAATTGAAATCCGAAAATTTAATTATGGAAATAAGAAAAATTCCTAATCGAAAAATTGAAGAAACAAAAAATCTATGTATTGAAAAATTAAAAATCGGGAAACCAAAAAGTTCAAAAGATGAACAATTGAAATATTTGAAACTGAAAAGTAAAAAAGTTGCTAATCGAAAAATAAAAGAAACGAAAAGTCGGAAAACTGAAACATCTAAAATTCTAAAAATTGAAAATTTTTAAAGTTGAGAAATCGAAAAATTTAATGAAAAAATCCAAAAAGTGAGGAAACAAAAAGTTGAAAAAACGAAAATTTAAAACATCAAAAAATTGTAAATCGAAAAATCGAATAATTGAAAAATCGGAAAAATGGGAAAATCAAAATTCGAGAAATTGAAACATCGAAAAATGGCAACATTGTAAAATTTCGTTGTGGAAAACTTTTAAAACTGAAAATTCGGAAAACTGCAAATTGAAGAATGGGTTAATTGAAAATTTGAAAAATGAAATCGTAAAATTGAAAATTGGGAAAATTTGAAAACCGAAAATTCTATAAATGAAAATATAAGGAAATTAAAAATCAAAAATTGAAAATCTCTAAAATTAAAAATGGAAATGAGAAAAATTCCCAATCGAAAAATTAAACAATCAAAAATATCCAAGTATTTAAAAATTAAAAATCGCAAAATTAAATGTTCGAAAGTTGAGAAATTGAAATATTTAAAACTGAAAATTAGAAAAATTGCTAATCAAAAAGTAGAAGAAACGAAAATTTGGAAAATCGAAAAATTATAAACAGAAAACTGAAAAATCTAAAATACTAAAAATTGAAAATTTTGAAAGCTAAGAAATCGAAAAATTTTAAAATTAAAACCAGAAAAATTTCTTATCGCAAGATGGTAACAATGAAAAATTGAAAAATTCAAAAGTCAAAAAGTTGGAGGAACAAAAATTTGAAAAATCAAGAAACATCGAAAGAACGAAAATTGAAAACATCTAAAAATTGTAAATTGAAAGATAGAATAATCGAAAAATCGGAGAAATTGAAGCATCGAAAAACGACAACACTGTAAAATTTGGCTTTAGAAACTTTTAAAATTAAAACTCGGAAAACTGCAAATTGAAGAATGAATTAATTGAAGAATGGATTGATTGAAAATTTAAAAAATTAAATCGAAAAACTGAAAAACTACCTAGGTGACTGAAAATTACAAAAATTTGAAAACCGAAATTTCTAAAAATAGAAAAATCAAAATTTAAGAAATCGAAAAATTGTAACACGGAAACACCAAAAATTGAAAAATTCAAAACTTAAAATCCAAAAATTTAATTATGGAAATAAGAAAAATTCCTAATCGAAAAATTGAAGAAACAAAAAATCTAAGTATTGAAAAATTAAAAATCGGAAAACTAAAAAGTTCAAAATATTTAAAACTGAAAATTAGAAAAATTGCTAATCAAAAAGTAGAAGAAACGAAAATTTTGAAAATAGAAAAATTATAATCAGAAATCTGAAAAATCTAACATTCTAAAAATTGAAAATTTTGTGAACTAAGAAATCGAAAAATTTTAAAATGAAAACCAGAAAAATTTCTTATAGCAATATGGTAACAATGAAAAATTGAAAAATTCAAAAGTCAATAAGTTGAAGGAACAAAAATTTGAAAAATCAAGAAACAACGAAAGAACGAAAATTGAAAACATCTAAAAACTGTAAATTGAAAGATAGAATAATTAAAAATTCGGAAAAATCAGAAAATTAAAAATCGAGAAATTGCAACATCGAAAAATTTTAAAATTGAAAATTCGAAAAACTACAAATTGAAAAATGGGTTAATTGAAAATTTCAAAAATTAAATCGAAAAAACGAAAAATTGGGTGATTGAAAATTAATGAAAATTTGAAAACCGAAAATTCTAAAAATTGAAAAATCGCGAAACTAAAAAATCAAAATTTAAAAAATCGAAAATTGTAACACTAAAACATCGAAAAATTTAAAAATGGAAATAAGAAAAATTCCCAATCCAAAAATTGAAAAAAAAGTTGCAAAGTTGATAAATTGGAATATTTGAAACCGAAAATTAGAAAAAAGTTGAAAAATCGAGAAATATCGAAAAAACGAAAATTTAAAACATCTAAAAATTGTAAATCGAAAAATAGAATAATTGAAAAATCGGAAAAATTGAAACATCGAAAAACGGCAACACTGCAAAATTTCGCTATGGAAAAATTTTAAAACTGAAAATTCGGAAAACTGCAAATTGAAGAATGGGTTAATTGAAAATTTGAAAAATTGAATCGTAAAATTCAAAATTAGGAAACTTTGAAAACCAAAAATTCTATAAATGAAAAAATCAGGAAAATAAAAATCAAAAATTATTTAAAAAATAATAAGAAAAATTCCCAATCAAAAAATTAAAAAAACAAAATTATCCAAGTATTGAAAAATTAAAAATCGCAAAATTAAATGTTCGAAAGTTGAGAAATTGAAATTTTTAAAACTGAAAATTAGAAAAATTGCTAACCAAAAAGTAGAAGAAACGAGAATTTGGAAAATCGAAAAATTATAATCAGAAAACTGAAAAATCTAGAATTCTAAAAATTGAAAATTTTGAAAGCTAAGTAATCGAAAAATTTTTAAATAAAAACCAGAAAAATTTCTTATTGCAAGATGGTAACAATGAAAATTGAAAAATTCAAAAATCAAAAAGTTGAAGGAACAAAAATTTGAAAAATCAAGAAATATCGAAAGAACGAAAATTGAAAACATCTAAAAATTGTAAATTGAAAGATAGAATAACTGAAAAATGGAAAGAATTGAAACATCGAAAAACGGTAACACTGTAAAATTTGGCTTTAGAAAATTTTAAAATTAAAAGTCGGAAAACTGCAAATTGAAGGATGAATTAATTGAAGAATGAATTAATTGAAAATTTGAAAAATTTAAAAATTAGGTGACTGGAAATTACAAAAATTTGAAAACCGAAATTTCTGAAAATTGAAAAATTCAAAACTTAAAATCTAAAAATTTAAATAGGGAAATCAGCAAAATTCCCAATCGAAAAATTGAAAAAACAAAAAATGCAAGTATTGAAAAATTAAAAATCGAAAAACTAAAAAGTTGAAAAGTTGAAAAATCGAAATATTTAAATCTGAAAATTAAAAAAGGTGTTAATCGAAAAATAAAAGAAACGAAAAGTTGGAAAATGGAAAAATCATAATAAATCGAAAAAATAAAAATCGGAAAAGTGAAAAATCTGAAATTTTAAAATTAAAAATCTAAAAATTTAATTATGGAAATAAGAAAAATTCCCAATTGAAAAATTATAATCGAGAAAACAAATCATAATGAAAATGGTAAATTTTTGTCGGGTAATATCGATTTTACCGTTAAGCTCCGCCCTTCGCTCTGACAACAAATGAAAAATTCATCACATTTGGGAGTGGGGCTTATATTTTTACCCTTTTTCTTGACATGTAGTTTTCTTTCAACAACATGATACTTAAAAACATGTTTCACGTGGTAGATTCTTGTCGAGAAATAAGCGTTTTGCATTACGAATACTCGAAACGAAACAAAAGTCAAAAGAAAGTGAAGGGTAGAGGGTTTATTATTTGGCAAAATCAGTCTTATCTTGGCAAGTATTAGCCCTGCCCACCCACCCATTTTTTCTTCTAGGATATGCCATTTGGCAATATCAGTTTTAACTTAACAAGTACTAGCCCTGCCCACCCGCCCTTTATTTTCTTTTGGTGTTCTTTTTCAATTAATTCATTTAACTTTCTTTGTATAACATGGTTAATTAATTACTTAATAACATTTTTTACATGGTAATTTCTCGTAGACAAATAAGGATTTTACAAATAAACTTTGCCCCTTGGCTTACGACAAATAAAAAAAAATCATCAGAATTGAGATAGGGTGGGTGGGTGGGGCTTATATTTTGAGTGTTTTTCTTAATATACATAGTCATCTTTTCACAACAAGAAACTCAACACATTGTTCAAATGGTACATTTTTTGCAAAATCGATATTTCCTTATACAAATTGAATGAAAACCATTTGAATGACGATGGGGACAGGAAGTGTGTCCAGAAGAAACTGAAGAAAGATTTAAAGAAAATAAATGTTGTGGGAAGATTTCGGTGAAGCTGTATGCAAAGTATTTACTTTCCGGAGGATATTGTTACTTTATGATATGATAACTTTGGTACTTTTAACGTCGATTATATCTTCCATTTCGTTCTATTCTTACTATATGACGGCATCTATCAACCTCCATAATACGATGTTCTCTGCCATAATGAAAACCCAGCTCCAGTTTTTCTACACCAATCCAACCGGCTCTATATTGAATAGATTTTCTAAAGACTTAGCAAATGCAGACACTAATGTACCGAAGTACTTGATCGACTCTTTGCAGGTAACTTACACGTCAGTAGAACATCTAATAAATGATCAGTTTTAGAACGGATTGAGCGTGTTATCAATATTTATCCTCGTAGGAATCGTCAATCCTTGGATGCTTCTATGTTCCGTTTTCTTGATAGTGCTCTTCTACTTCATCCGAACCGTCTACTTATCAACGTCTCGAGAACTAAAGAGACTAGAAGCTATTAGTAAGTACCAAGTACGAAATCTTCGACAATAACTAGTGATTTAGGTCGTAGCCCTGTCTACTCCCACCTCACCGAGTCTCTCCACGGCCTAGAAACCATCCGAGTCTTCGAAAAGAACACCCAACAGAAACAAACTTTTGAACGCTTCATTGACAACAACACTGCCGTTTTTTACTTGTATATCTCAATCGCTACAACTTTCCGCTTCTGGTTGAGCCTCTTCTGCTCCTTCTATGTCACTCTAGTCACCGCTAGCTGCTTCTGGGGCGCCAAAATCTACGGCGGCAACCTCGGACTGATTATAACCCAAGCTACAAACCTCGCTGAACAGATTAACTGGGGCATGATCCAGTGGAGCGAGTTCGAGAACGAAATGACTTCCGTTGAAAGACTCATCCAATACAAAAACATCGAGCCTGAGGAAGACACCGCAAAAGACAAAACATGGCCCTCACTGACTTCCATCGAGTTCAAGAACGTCTCTCTGCGATACAAGGAAGACATTCCGCCTGCACTAGACAATCTTTCTTTCGCTATAGCCCCGAAAGAAAAAGTCAGAATAGTTGGAAGAACCGGGGCCGGGAAAACCTCGATCATTTCGGCTTTGTTCCGTCTGGTGAAGTTCGAAGGGACGATTCTGGTAGGTGGGGTTAACATCAATGATTTGTCACTGGATAGTGTGAGGTCAAAAATTTCTATCATCCCGCAAGAGCCGGTTCTGTTTTCTGGAACGGTCCGACAAAATCTGGATCCGTTTGGGAGGTTCACAGATGGCGAATTGTGGACGGTTTTGGGCGATTTGGAACTAAAAGAGTTCGTGACGGAGTTTCCTGGGGGGCTGGAAGGTGCCATTCTGGAAAGAGGGGCGAATTTGAGTGTGGGACAGAGACAGTTGTTTTATCTAGCCAGGGCTTTGCTGAGGAGGAATGACATTTTGGTGCTCGATGAAGCTACAGCAAATTTGGATTACAAAACGGACTCGTTGGTACAGGGTACTCTTAAAAATAAGTTGGTGGATTGTACCGTGGTGATTATTGCACATAGACTGTATACGATTATGGACTGTGATAAAGTACTGGTGATGGAGGCCGGAAGGACTTCGGAGTTTGGGCACCCCTTCAAGCTTTTACAGAATGAAAAAGGGGCTTTACATGATCTGGTTTCCAAGTTGGGGCCAAATATGGCGAAGCATCTCAAGGAGATTGCGGAAAAGGTGACTTAATTGCTATATGTAGTTGCAAAAATTACACCTTTTTTGTTTTCAGAATTATTTTAAACGTCACGAAAGTAGTCATTTGTGACACTAGGAAATCCTGACAATTAATAAAATAGCAACTATTTTTTTATACGAAATGTACATATAACTTATAATAAATGTGACAAAATCTACAGTGTTTATCAGTTATTGCTTTTATAGTGTTAGTGATCGTGACAATTTTTCTATCGCATATTCTCTATTCAGTGACAGTTTACCAAATGTACCATCTCTAAAATGTGGTTCTTGTTCTTTATATTTCCATAGTAAATGCGTGGGAATTGACAAACGACAGTTAATTTTGTTAAGACTGATTTTCGCAAATGACAACATGTAAGAAAAGAGAGGGTGGGTGGGCGGGGCTAATACCTGCTAAGATAAAACGAAAATGTGAAGAAACAAAAAGTTGAAAAATCGAGAAACATCGAAAAAACGAAAATTTAAAGCATCAAAAAATTGTAAATCGAAAAATAGAATAATTGAAAAATCGGAAAAATTAGAAAATCAAAATTCGAGAAATTGAAACATCGAAAAATGGCAACACTGTAAAATTTCGTTACAGAAAAATTTTAAAACTGAAAATTCGGAAAACTGCAAATTGGAGAATGGGTTAATTGAAAATTTGACAAATTAAATCGAAAAAATGAAAAATTAATAAAAATTTGAAAACCGAAAATTCTAAAAATTGAAAAATCGCGAAACTAAAAAATCAAAGTTTAAAAATCGAAAATTGTAACACTAAAACATCGAAAAATTTAAAAATGGAAATAAGAAATATTCCCAATCCAAAAATTTAAGAAAAAGTTGCAAAGGAAAAATTCCCAAGCCAAAAATTTAAGAATAAGTTGCAAAGTTGATAAATTGACATATTTGCAACTGAAAATTAGAAAAAAATTGGAAAATCGAGAAACATCGAAAAAACGAAAATTTAAAACATCTATAAATTGTAACTCGAAAAATAGAATAATTGAAAAATTGGAAAATTTGAAACATCGAAAAACGGCAACACTGTAAAATTTGGCTTCAGAAAATTTTAAAATTAAAAGTCGGAAAACTGCAAATTGAAGAATGAATTAATTGAAAAAGAAATTGATTGAAAATTTGAAAAATTAAATTGAAAAATTGAAAAATCAGGTGACTGAAAATTACAAAAATTCTAATCAAAATTCAAAAATTAAAATCCAAAAATTCAATTATGGAAATAAGAAAAATTCCTAATCGAAAAATTGAAGAAATGAAAAATGCAAGTATTGAAAAATTAAAAATTGAAGAACTAGAAAGTTGAAAATTTGAAAAATCGAAATATATAAAACTGAAAATTAAAAAAGTTGTTAATCGAAAAATAAAAGAAACGAAAAGTCGGAAAACTGAAACATCTAAAATTCTAAAAATTGAAAATGTTTAAATTTGAGAAATCGAAAAATTTAGTGAAAAGATCGAAAATGTGAGGAAACAAAAAGTTGAAAAATCGAGAAACATCGAAAAAACGAAAATTTAAAACAACAAAAAATTGTAAAACGAAAAACAGAATAATTGAAACATAATGGGAAAAATTGGAAAATCAAAATTCGAGAAATCGAAACATCGAAAAATGGCAACACTGTAAAATTTCGTTATGGAAAAATTTTAAAACTGAAAATTCGGAAAACTGCAAATTGAAAAATGGGTCAATTGAAAATTTGAAAAATTAAATCGTAAAATTGAAAATTCAGGGGATTGAAAATTAGGAAAAATTGAAAACCGAAAATTCTATAAATGAAAAAATCAGGAAATTAAAAATCTCTAAAATTCAAAATGGAAATGAGAAAAATTCGGAAACGAAAAATTAAAAAAACAAAATTATACAACTATTGAAAAATTAAAATTCGCAAAATTAAATGTTCAAATGTTGAAAAATTGAAATATTTAAAACTGAAAATTAGAAAAATTGCTAATCAAAAAGTAGAAGAAACGAGAATTTGGAAAATCGAAAAATTATAATCAGGAAACTGAAAAATCTAAAATTCTAAAATTTGACAATTTTGAAAGCTAAGAAATCGAAAAATTTTAAAATGTAAACCAGAAAATTTTCTTATCCCAAGATGGTAACAATGAAAAATTGAAAAATCCAAAAATCAAAAAGTTGGAGAACCAAAAATTTGAAAAATCAAGAAACATCAAAAAAACTAAAATTGAAAACATCTAAAAATTGTAAATTGAAAGATACAATAATTGAAAATTCGGAAAAATTAGAAAATTAAAAATCGAGAAAATGAAAACTAGAAAAAGTTCTTATTGCAAGATGGTAACAATGAAAAATAGAAAAATTCAAAAATCAAAAAGTTGAAGGAACAAAAATTTGAAAAATTGAAAACATCTAAAAATTGTAAATTGAAAGATAGAACAATTGAAAAATCGGAGAAATTGAAACATCGAAAAACGGCAACACTCTAAAATTTGGCTTTAGAAAATTTTAAAATTAAAAGTCGGGAAACTGCAAATTGAAGTATGAATTAATTGAAGAATGAATTGATTGAAAATTTGAAAAATTAAAACGAAAAATTGAAAAATTAGGTGACTGAAAATTACAAAAATTTAAAAACCGAAATTTCTAAAAATTGAAAAATTCAAAACTTAAAATCTAAAAATTTAATTATGGAAATCAGCAAAATTTCCAATCGAAAAATTGAAAAAACATAAAATGCAAGTATGGAGAAATTAAAAATCGAAAAACTAAAAAGTTGAAAAGTTCAAAAATCGAAATATTTAAAACTGAAAATTAAAAATGAAAACCAGATAAGAAAAATTCCCAATTGAAAAATTAAAAAATTATAATCGAGAAAAAAAATCATACTGAAAATGGTAAATTTTTCTCGGGAAATATCAATTTTACCGTTAAGCTCCGCCCCTCGCTCTGACAACAAACGAAAAATTCACCACGTTTGGGGGTGGGGCTTATTTTTTACCCTTTTTCTTGACATATAGTTTTCTTTCAACAACATGATACTTAAAAACATGTTTCACGTGGTAGATTCTTGTCGAGAAATAAGCGTTTTACAATTAAATTTCGCCCCTTGGCTTACGACGAATAAAAAAAATCATCAGAATTGAGATAGGGTGGGTGGGCGGGGCTTATATTTTGCGTGTTTTTCTTAATATACATAGCCATCTTTTTACAACAAGAAACTTAAAACATTGTTAAAATGAAGAATTAATCCGCCATTTTTCAGACACCCGGTATATCGGAAGTAATTGATGGTAATGGACAATGTAACGTCATATATAGTAATTTTTAAAATATTATAGTATATATAGTAATGAAGAATTACAAAGAAAAATTCCAATATTTACACATCGTCGAACAAACCTTCTATTAATAATAATCCATCTTACGTTTACAAATAACCTTTATTTTCTCAATAACCACCTATTATTACAACAATCTTACTCCTTTTTACTCAGTAATCAGCAGCTTCGCTCGTCAATAATCACAACAAAGAAAACAACGTTATTTAATGAATAAATAAACGCAACAATTGTCGTGCAGTCACAACACCGGAAACCGGACAATTTTTAATCAATTTTTCCACAATATACAACTCCACCCTCTTTATTAAATGCGCCAGAAAGCGAACCACACTTATCGACGCGAAAATGCCCCAAAGAAAACTGTCCCTTTGGGACATGTTGAAATACGAAGCCAAACAATTCTGCTTGAACACCGCTTTGCACGGATACAGATTCATCGTCCTACCCAAACGAATCCTTCTCGAACGGTAGGTACCTCACCATTTCAAACCACACAATAACCGCATTTGCAGGGTTTTCTGGGTGATCGTGGTGTTAATCTCGCTTTCATCAGCCCTTGCGCTTCTCTTCATCGCGTGGTTCAGCTTCCAAGACAACCCGACTATTTTGGTCACAGATTCCACCCACTATCCCATTTGGAACTACCCGTTCCCGGCTGTGACGATCTGCAGCTTCAATAAGCTATCGAAGAAAAGAACTCTGGCTTTAGCTAAAGAACTGTAATTGTTGATTTAGTGACACAATTCGTTCTGAGTGGCGATTTTCAGGGACAACCCCTACGGTATATCAGCTGAAGATCTAGCCCTAGATCTTCGCCTTCTCTTTCAACTGATCTTCAACAACAACGAAAACATCCCGCTGCGGAACTACACCCGTCTGCAGGATATTCTGGACATGAACGACCTCTCCATCGAGAAGGTTATGGATAAAATAGCCCCGAAATGCAGCGATTTGTTGCAGCGGTGCAAGTGGAAAGGGGAGGAAAAGCGGTGTGAAAGCATCTTCGAAACGATTAAAACTACAGAGGGGTATTGTTGCACTTTCAACTACTACGCTTTAAAGAATCACACTTTTGGAGGGTAATTATTTATTGGTGAATTTCACTTTTTTGACATTGAAGATAATTTTAGTGCTTTAGCCAACAAAATTCCGAGCTTTCCTAGAAGAGTGTCTGCTTGTGGATATCTGACGGCGTTGGAAGTACTAGTAGACAGTAACCCTTCTGATTATTTCGGTACGCAAATTGCCGCAATCGGGCACAGGGTACTCATCCACAATTCGTACTATTTTCCGGACTGGAGCGCCCAGAATATGTTAACGGAAAAAGGGATTATGAACCTGATTGGAATCACTCCTTCCGTCACCTACTCCACCCCAAGTATTAGGTCTCTCTACGTTTCTAAGCGGAATTGTCTTTTCCACAACGAATCCCAGCTTCACAACTTTTACCACTACAACTACCATAACTGCTTAACTGAATGTCGCATGAATATTAGTAAGCACTTGTGTGGGTGTATCCCGTTTTATTACTACCACGAAACGGGAACTTACCCCAAAACGCGCATTTGTAACCTGAGGGATATCCACTGTCTGACGGAGCACAGACGTGAGTACTTCGATTTTTTGGTCTACAGAGACAGCATTAGTTTTGTAGCTTTAATAATGAATTCGGTGCCCGGGTTTGACTTTAGTACCATTTCTCCAAACCACGAATGGGGCACGGAACAACACGTGTGTAAAATGTGCTTGCCTGACTGCGACTACGTTGACTACTCGGCGGAATCGTCGTCTGGAATATTCACAAGGAAGTACTCAAGTAATCAGTTGAATTTATTGTAAGTAAACTAATTCAACGTAAAAAATGTAAGGTTAAATTGTGAGGGTTTCAGCGGAGGGGTTGTCATTCAGCACCAAAGCGTCGTGAGAGTGTATTTCAACGATTTAGTGGCGACCAAAAATCGACGGGATGTTGTCTTCAGCTGGCATACTTTACTGGGTAAGTAGTAATATTGAATTCGAATTTGGCGCCATTTTTAAGTTCTTTCGATTGCGCCTGCGCAATTTCGATGACCTTGTATTTACTAACAATTTGAACTCCATACCATTGTTTAAGTATATTATAGTTGCACAACCTATACGGAGAATCACGAAAAAAAAAATTGGAAAATCGAAAATTTAAAAATTCCGAAAATTGAAAAATTAAAATTGAGAAATCGAAGCATAAAACAGTTAAAACATTGAAAAATCTAAAGTTAAAAAACGGAAAATTGAAAATAAAAAAAGTAAAAAGTCAAGAACTGAAAAATCGGAACTTTGGAAAGTGGAGAAACGGAAATATAAAGAAGCAGATTAATTGAGAAATCCGAAAACTGAAAATTCAGAAACGTCAAAATACGAAAAATAAAATAATCTTGAAGAACTGAAAAATGAAAAATCTAAAATTTAAAACTTAATACATTGAAAAGTTAAAATATCGTAAAATTGAAAAATAAGAGGAATGCAAACATCAAAAAATCAAAAAAATAAAAATTCGAAAATCTAAAATTTGAAAATCGTAAAACTAAAAAATCAACGAATCGAGAAATCGAAACTCGAAAATTTAGAAAATTGGAAAATTGAAAAATCGGATAATTCAAGAATCTAAACATCGAAAAATCGAGAAACCGAAAAGCAAAATATCGAAAAACCAACAAATCGGAAAATCGAAACATCGTAAAATTCAAAAACTGAGACATCGAGAAATCGAAAAAACCTGATATTTTAAAAATTGAAAAATAAAAATTGAGAAATCGAAGCATAAAACAGTTACAACATTGAAGAATCTAAAGTTTAAAAAACGGAAAATTGAAAATCCAAAAAATAAAAAGTCAAGAAATCGAAAAATCCAGAACTCGAAAAATTGAAATACTAAGAAATCCCAAAACTCAAATATCGAAAAATTGAAAAATAGGGGAACAATCGAAAAATCGAAAAACTGAAATATCACAAAATTGAACGAAATATCCAAAAATTAGGAAATTAAAAAATTGAGAAACAGAAAAGTCAAAAAAGCAGAGTCGAAAAATCGCAAACTTAAAAAATCGAAACTTTGGGAAGTGAATAAATGGGAATATAAAAAAATAGATTAATTGAGAAATCCGAAAACTGAAAATTCAGAAACGTCAAAATTTGAAAAAAATAAAAAAATATTGAAGAACTGAAAAACGAAAAATCTAAAATTTAAAACTTAAGTCATTGAAAAGTTAAAATATCGTAAAATTGAAAAATAGAGGAATGCAAACATCAAAAAATCAAAAAAATAAAAATTCGAAAATCTAAAATTTTAAAATCGAAAAACTAAAAAATCAACGAATCGAGAAATCGAAACTCGAAAATTTAGAAAATTGGAAAATTGAAAAATCGGATAATTCAAGAATCTAAACATCGAAAAATCGAGAAACCGAAAAGCAAAAAATCGAAAAACCAACAAATCGGAAAATCGAAACATCGTAAAATTCAAAAACGGAGACATCGAGAAATCGAAAAAACCTAATATTTTAAAAACTGAGAAATCGAAGCATAAAACAGTTAAAACATTGAAAAATCTAAAGTTTAAAAAACGGAAAATTGAAATCCAAAAAGTAAAAAGTCAAGAAATCGAAAAATCCAGAACTCGAAGAGTCGAAATACTAAGAAATCCCAAAACTCAAATATCGAAAAATTGAAAAATAGAAGAAAAATTGAAAAATCGAAAAACCGAAAAATCACAAAATTGAACGAAATATCCAAAAATTATGAAATTAAAAATTGAGAAACAGAAAAGTCAAAAAAGCAGACTCGAAAAATCGCAAACTTAAAAAATCGAAAAATTGAAAAATCAAAAACCTGACAAATCGAAAAATTGAAGAACTGAAAAATCGAAACTTTGGGAAGTGGAGAAACGGGAATATAAAAAAAATAGATTAATTGAGAAATCCGAAAACTGAAAAATCAACGAATCGAGGAATCGAAACTCGAAAATTTAGAAAATTGGAAAATTGAAAAATCGGATAATTCAAAAATCGAAACATCGAAAAATCGAGAAACCAAAAAGCAAAAAATCGAAAAACCAACAAATCGAAACAACGAAACATTAAAATTCAAAAACTGAGACATCGAGAAATCGAAAAATCAAAAGACCAAAAAATCGAGGAGTCGAAAAATCGAGAAGTCGAAAAATCGAAAAATTGAGAAACCGAAATAGGGCAAAATCGAAAAATCGAAACCTTAAATATGGAAAAATTGATAAAGCGAGGGATTGAACAATCAAAACATCGAAACTTCCGAATCTCAATAAATCGAGAAATTGAAAAATCAAAAATTTAAAAATTCGGAAAATTGAAAAATTAAAATATAGGACTGAAAACTCGAGAAGTCGAAAAATCTAGAAATTTCAAAATTGAAAAATTAAAATATGGAAAAGTTGAAAAATTGAGAAATTGAAATATAAAACAATCGAAAAACTGAAAAATCTAAAGTACAAAAAACAAAAACTGAAAATCCAAAAATAAAAAATCGAAAAATCTAGAAGTCGAAAAATCAAAGAATCGAAATATTGAAAAATCTCAAAACTGAAAGAAATATCTAAAAATTGGGAAATCGAAAAGCCAATAAAACGAAGTCGAAAAATCGAAGAATTGAAGAACTGAAAAATCGAAACTTTGAGAAGTGGGAAAATCAAAAATAGATTAATTGAGAAATCAGAAAACTGAAAATTTAACGTCAAAATTTGAAAAATTAATAAATTTAAGTACTGAAGAACTGAAAAGTCAAAAAATCGAGAAATCGAAAAATCTAAAATTTCAAACATCGCAAAATTGAAGAATCGAGAAATCCAATTCAATTTAAAAAATTGAAAAATTGAAAATTCGGAACATTGAAAAATTGGAAAATCCAGAAATTGAAAAGCCCAAAAGTAAAAAATCGAAACATCGCAAAATTCAAAAACTGAGACATCGAGAAATCGAAAAATCAGAGGATCGGGAAATTGAGGACTCGGAAGCCGAAAACGAAAGTTAAAAATTGAAAAATTGAAAAATTGATGAATTGAGAAATCAAAAAATTGAATAATCGAAAAATTTTAAAAAAGAAAAACTGGAAAATCGAAAATTAAAATTAACAAATTCGAAAAATTGAAATATGGAAGAATTGAAAACTCAAGATATCGCAATCCCTAGAATTTTAAAAAATGAAATATTAAAACATCGAAAAGTTGAAAAATTGAGAAAGCGAAGTACAAAACAGTCGAAGAATTAAAAAATCTAAAGTTTAACAATAAATTGAAAATCCGAAAAGTAAAAAATCGAGAAATCAAAAAAAATCCATCAATTCAAAAATCGAAAAGTCGAAAAATCGAAATATTGAAAAGTCTCATAACTGAAAAAAATATTCAAAAAATTGAGAAATTAAAAAATTGGAAAATTGAGAAATCGAAAAACTAAAAAAGCAAAGACGAAAAATCGTAAGCATTAAAAATCGAAAAATTTAAGAATTGAAGAAGTGAAAAATCAAAACTTTAGGAAGTCCAGAAACGGAAAAATAAAAAAAATACTTTAGAAATCGGAAAACTGAAAATTTAGAAACGTGAAAATTTGAAAAACTGAAAAAACGAAATATTTAAAAACAGTAAAATTAAAGAGGACAAAAATTGAGAAATCGTATCATTGAAACATCGAAAAATTGAGAAATAGAAATGTATATATATTTTGTGTTAATATTTGTTATCGGGCGAAGTAAAATTTGTATTAGGTTGTCCAACTATAATATACTTAAACAATGTCCATACTAATCACGTAATGACTTATTTGCAGCCTTTTATGGGGGTCTGTTAGGACTCTTTATCGGATTCAGCTTCGTTTCTGCTGTCGAACTGGTCTACTTCTTCACAATTCGCCTCCTCCTGGACATAAAACACAAAAACGAAGCCGCCCAGACTAAAAAAGCCACACATTTAGTCAACGTGAAGCCACACCAGGAAGAAATTCTTAATCCGAGACACCTCATGACTTATCATCGTGATAAATTTAATCTGAGGCGTCGAAGCAATTCCAATTCTTAAATTTTGAATCAAATAGGCACAACTACCTCATCACTTATTAAAGTATTAAAAAAAAACTGTAGCAGTATTAAATATATCCTAGGTTTTAACGCAACAAAAATAAAAATCAATGCACGTTTTATGTTTTATTGTTTATTCTAGTATGTAACTCAGAAACACAGTTTAGTGCTTATTTTGTAAATGTTTGCGTAAATGTCCCTTCCAGGCCGTACTGAAGCCACAATGCAAACACTTGAAGGGAAGTTCGCCCCCAGCGTGTGTGAACTTGTGGGCATCCAGACCCCTCTTATCACTAAAACACTTTCGGAGGGTAATTATTTATTGGTGAATTTCTCTTTTTTTAACACTGAAGATAATTTAGTGCTTTAGCCAACAAAATTCCGAGCTTTCCTAGAAGAGTGTCTGCTTGTGGATATCTGACGGCGTTGGAAGTACTAGTAGACAGCAACCCATCTGATTATTTCGGTACTCAAATTGCTGCAATCGGGCACAGGGTACTCATCCACAATTCGTACTACTTTCCGGACTGGAGCGCCCAGAATATGTTAACGGAAAAAGGGATCATGAACCTGATCGGGATCACTCCTTCCGTCACCTACTCCACCCCAAGTATTAGGTCTCTCAACGTTTCTAAGCGGAATTGTCTTTTCCACAACGAATCCCAGCTTCACAATTTTTACCACTACAACTACCATAACTGCTTAACTGAATGTCGCATGAATCTTAGTAAGCACTTTTGTGGGTGTATCCCGTTTTATTACTACCACGAAACGGGAACTTACCCCAAAACGCGCATTTGTAACCTGAGGGATATCCACTGTCTGACGGAGCACAGACGTGAGTACTTCGATTTTTTGGTCTAAAGAAACAGCATTAATTTTGTAGCTTTAATCATGAATTCGGTGCCCGGGTTTGACTTTAGTACCATTTCTCCAAACCACGAATGGGGCACGGAACAACACGTGTGTAAAATGTGCTTGCCTGACTGTGACTACGTTGACTACTCGGCGGAATCGTCGTCTGGAATATTCACAAGGAAGTACTCAAGCAATCAGTTGAATTTGTTGTAAGTAAACTAAATAAATGTAAAAAATGTAAGGTTAAATTCTGAGGGTTTTCAGCGGAGGGGTTGTCATTCAGCACCAAAGCGTCGTGAGGGTGTATTTCAACGATTTAGTGGCCACCAAAAATCGACGGGATGTTGTCTTCAGCTGGCATACTTTACTGGGTAAATAGTAATTTTGAATTGGATTTTCGCGCCATTTTTAAGTTCTTTCGATTGCGCCTGCGCCTCAAAGAATTTCGATGACCTTGTATTTACTAACAATTTGAACTCCATACCATTGTTTAAGTATATTATAGTTGGACAACCTATACGGAGAATCACAAAAAAAAAATTGGAAAATCGAAAATTTAAAAATTCCGAAAATTGAAAAATTGAAACATGGAAGAACTGAAAACTCAAAAAATCGGAAAAACCTAATATATAAAAATTGAAAAATCAAAAACCTGAAAAATCGAAAAATTGAAGAACTGAAAAATCGAAACTTTGGGAAGTGGAGAATCGGGAATATAAAAAAATAGATTAATTGAGAAATCCGAAAACTGAAAATTCAGAAATGTCAAAATTTGAAAAATTAAAAAATATTGAAGAACTGAAAAATGAAAAATTTAAAATTTAAAACTTAAAACATTGAAAAGTTAAAATATCGTAAACTTGAAAAATAGAGGAATGCAAACATCAAAAAATCAAAAAAATAAAAATTCGAAAATCTAAAATTTAAAAATCGAAAAACTGAAAAATCAGCGAATCGAGAAATCGAAACTCGAAAATTTAAAAACTGGAAAATTGAAAAATCGGATAATTCAAAAATCGAAACATCGAAAAATCGAGAAACCGAAAAGCGAAAAATCGAAAAACCAACAAATCGAAAAATCGAAAACATCGTAAAATTCAAAAACTGAGACATCGAGAAATCGAAAAAACCTAATATTTTAAAAATTGAAAAATAAAAATTGAGAAATCGAAGCATAAAACAGTTAAAACATTGAAGAATCTAAAGTTAAAAAAACGGAAAATTGAAAATCCAAAAAGTTAAAAGTCAAGAAATCGAAAAGTCGAAATACTAAGAAATCCCAAAACTCAAATATCGAAAAATTGAAAAATAGAAGAAAAATTGAAAAATCGAAAAACTGAAGAATCACAAAACTGAACGAAATATCCGAAAATAGGAAATCAAAAAATTGAGAAACAGAAAAGTCAAAAAAGCAGAGTCGAAAAATCGCAAACTAAAAATATCGAAAAATTGAAGATCTGAAGAACTGAAAAATCAAAACTTTGGGAGGTGGAAAAACGGGAATATAAAAAATTGATTAACTGAGAAATCCGAAAACTGAAAATTCAGAAACGTCAGAATTTGAAAAATAAAAAATTCTTGAAGAACTGAAAAATTAAAAATCTAAAATTTAAAACTTAAGACATTGAAAAGTTAAAATATCGTAATATTGAAAAATAGAGGAATGCAAACATTAAAAAATCAAAAAAATAAAAATTCGAAAACCTAAAATTTAACAATCGAAAAATTGAAAAATCAACGGATCGAGAAAAAATTGGAAAATTGAAAAATCGGGTAATTCAAAAATCGAAACATCGAAAAATCGAGAAACCGAAAAGCAAAAATCGAAAAACCAATAAATCGGAAAATCGAAACATCGTAAAATTCAAACAGTGAGACACCGAGAAATCGAAAAAACCTAATATTTTAAAAATTGAAAAATTAAAATTGAGAAATCAAAGCATAAAACAGTTGAAACATTGAAAAACCTAAAGTTTAAAAAACGGAAAATTGAAAATCCAAAAAGTAAAAAGGCAAGAAATCGAAAAATCCAGAACTCGAAAAATCGAAATACTAAAAAATCCCAAAACTCAAATATCGAAAAATTGAAAAATAGAAGAAAAATTGAAAAATCGAAAAACTGAAAAATCACAAAATTGAACGAAATATCCAAAAATTAGGAAATTAATAATTGAGAAACAGAAAAGTCAAAAAAGCTGAGTCAAAAAATCGCAAATTTAAAAAATCGAAAAATTGAAAAATCAAAAGCCTGAAAAATCGAAAAATTGAAGAACTGAAAAATCGAAACTTTGGGAAGCGGATAATTCAAGAATCTAAACATCGAAAAATCGAGGCACCGAAAAGCAAAAAATCGAAAAACCAACAAATCGAAAAATCTAAACATCGTAAAATTCAAAAACTGAGACATCGAGAAATCGAAAAAACCTGATATTTTAAAAATTGAAAAATAAAAATTGAGAAATCGAAGCATAAAACAGTTAAAACATTGAAGAATCTAAAGTTTAAAAAACGGAAAATTGAAAATCCAAAAAGTAAAAAGTCAAGAAATCGAAAAGTCGAAATACTAAGAAATCCCAAAACTCAAATATCGAAAAATTGAAAAATAGAAGAAAAATTGAGAAATCGAAAAACTGAAGAATCACAAAACTGAACGAAATATCCGAAAATAGGAAATCAAAAAATTGAGAAACAGAAAAGTCAAAAAAGCAGAGTCGAAAAATCGCAAACTTAAAAAATAGAAACATCGTAAAATTCAAAAACTGAGACATCGAAAGACCAAAAAAATCGAAGAGTCGAAAAATCGAAAAATTGAGGAACCGAAATAGGCCAAAATCGAAAAATCGAAAACCTAAATATGGAAAAATTGATAAAGCGAGAGATTGAACATCGAAACTTCCGAATCTCAATAAATCGAGGTCTCAAAAAATTGAAAAATCGAAAATTTAAAAATTCGGAAAATTGAAAAATTAAAATATAGGACTGAAAACTCGAGAAGTCGAAAAATCTAGAAATTTAAAAATTGAAAAATTAAAATATGGAAAAGTTGAAAAATTGAGAAATTCAAATATGAAACAATCGAAAAATTGAAAAATCTAAAGTACAAAAAACGAAAAACTGAAAATCCAAAAATTAAGAATCGAAAAATCTAGAATTCGAAAAATCCAGAACTCGAAAAGTCGAAATACTAAGAAATCCCAAAACTCAAATATCGAAACATTAAAAAATAGAAGAAAAATTGAAAAATCAAAAAACTGAAAAATCACAAAATTGAAGGAAATATCCATAAATTAGGAAATTAAAAAATTGAGAAACAGAAAAGTCAAAAAAGCAGAGTCGAAAAATCGCAAACTTAAAAAATCGAAACATCGTAAAATTCAAAAACTGAGACATCGAGAAATCGAAAAATCAAAAGACCAAAAAATCGAGGAGTCGAAAAATCGAAAAATTGAGAAACCGAAATAGCCCAAAATCGAAAAATCGAAAACTTAAATATGGAAAAATTGATAAAGCGGGAGATTGAATAATCGAAACATCGAAACTTCCGAATCTCAATAATTAGAGATCTCAAAAAATTGAAAAATCGAAAATTTAAAAAATCGGAAAATTGAAAATATAAAATATAAAACTGGAAACTCGAGCAGTCGAAAAGTCTAGAAATTAAAATATGGAAAAATTAAAAAGTTGGGAAGTTGAATTATAAAACAATCGAAAAACTGAAAAATCTAAAGTATAAAAAACGAAAAACTGAATATCCAAAAATTAAAAATCGAAAAATCTAGAAGTCGAAAAATCAAAGAATCGAAATATTGAAAAATCTCAAAACTGAAAGAAATATCCAAAAACTGAGAAATCGAAAAACCAATAAAGCGAAGTCGAAAAATCGAAGAATTGAAGAAATGAAAACTTTGAGAAGTGGGAAAATCAAAAATAGATTAACTAAGAAATCAGAAAATTGAAAATTTAATGTCAGAATTTGAAAAATTAAAAAATTTAAATACTGAAGAACTGAAAAGTGGAAAAATGGAGAAATCGAAAAAATCGCAAAATTGAAGAATCGAGAAATCCAATTCAATTTAAAAAACTGAAAAATTGAAAAATCGGAACATTGAAAAATTGGAAAATCCAGAAATTGAAAAGCCCAAAAGTAAAAAATCGAAACATCGAAAAATTCAAAAACTGGGACATCGAGAAATCGAAAAATCAGAGGATCGGAAAATTGAGGAGTCGGAAGCCGAAAACGAAAGTTAAAAATTGAAAAATTGAAAAATTGATAAATTGAGAAATCAAAAAATTGAATAATCGAAAAATTTTAGAAAAGAAAAACTGGAAAATAGAAAATTAAAATTAACAAATTCGAAAAATTGAAAAACTCGAGAAATCGAAAAATCAAGAATTTTAAAAAATAAAATATTAAAACATCGAAAAGTTGAAAAATTGAGAAATCTAAGTATAAAACAGTCGAAGAATTGAAAAATCTAAAGTTTAACAATAAATTGAAAATCCAAAAAGTAAAAATCGAGAAATCAAAAAAATCCATCAATTCAAAAATCGAAAAATCGAAAAATCGAAATATTGAAAAATCTCACAACTGAAAGAAATATTCAAAAAATTGAGAAATTAAAAAATTGTAAAATTGACAAATCGAAAAACTAAAAAGCAAAGTCGCAAAATCGTAAGCATAAAAAATCGAAAAATTTAAGAATTGCAGAAGTGAAAAATCGAAACTTTAGGAAGTCCAAAAATGGAAAAATAAAAAAAAATACTTTAGAAATCGGAAAACTGAAAATTTAGAAACGTGAATATTTTAAAAATTGAACGAAATATCCAAAAACAAGGAAATTAAAAAATTGACAAACCAAAAAGTCAAAAAAGCAGAGCCGAAAAATCGAAACATCGTAAAATTCAAAACCTGAGACATCGAGAAATCGAAAAATCAAAAGACCAAAAAATCGAGGAGTCGAAAAATCGATAAATTGAGAAACCGAAATAGGCCAAAATCGAAAAATCGAAAACTTAAATATGGAAAAATTGATAAAGCGAGAGATTGAACAATCAAAACATCGAAACTTTCGAATCTCAATAAATCGAGATCTCAAAAAATTGAAAAATCGAAAATTTAAAAATTAGGAAAATTGAAAAATTAAAATATAGAACTGGAAACTCGAGAAGTCGAAAAATCTAGAAATTTAAAAATTGAAAAATTAAAATATGGAAAAGTTGAAAAATTGAGAAATTGAAATATAAAACAGTCGAAAAATTGAAAAATCCAAAGTACAAAAAACGAAAAATGAAAATCCAAAAATAAAAAATCGAAAAATCTAGAAGTCGAAAAATCAAAGAATCGAAATATTGAAAAATCTCAAAACTGAAAGAAATATCCAAAAATTGAGAAATCGAAAAACCAATAAAGCGAAGTCGAAAAATCGAAGAATTGAGGAACTGAAAAATAGAAACTTTGAGAAGCGGGAAAATCAAGAATAGATTAATTGAGAAATCGAAAACTGAAAATTTAACGTCAAAATTTGAAAAATTAAAAAATTTATATACTGAAGAACTTGAAAAGTCAAAAAATCGAGAAATCGAAAAATCGAAAATTTCCAACATTGAACAATTCAAATATCGCAAAATTGAAGAATCGAGAAATCCAATTCAATTTAAGAAATTGAAAAATTGAAAAATCGGAACATTGAAAAATTGAAAAATCCAGAAATTGAAAAGCCCAAATATAAAAAATCGGAACATCGAAAAATTCAAAAACTGAGACATCGAGAAAGCGAAAAATCAGAGGATCTGGAAATTGAGGAGTCGGAAGCCGAAAAGGAAAGTTAATAATACAAAAATTGAAAAATTGATAAATTGAGAAATTGAACCATCAAAACAACGAAACATCTGAATTCGATAAATTGAGAAATAAAAAAATTGAATAATTTAAAAAAATTAAATATTAAAACATCGAAGAGTTGAACAATCGAGAAATCGAAGTATAAAACAGTCGAAGAATTGAAAAATCTAAAGTTTAACAATAAATTGAAAATCCAAAAGGTAAAAATCGAGAAACCAAAAAAATCCATCAATTCAAAAATCGAAAAGTCGAAAAATCGAAACATTGAAAAATCTCACAACTGAAAGAAATATTCAAAAAATTGAGCAATTAAAAAATTGTAAAATTGACAAATCGAAAAACTAAAAAAGCAAAGTCGCAAAATCGTAAGCATTAAAAATCGAAAAATTTAAGAATTGAAGAAGTGAAAAATCGAAACTTTCGGAAGTCCAGAAACGGAAAAATAAAAAAAATACTTTAGAAATCGGAAAAGTGAAAATTTAGAAACGTGAAAATTGAAAAATTAAAAAATCGAAATATTTAAAAACCGTAAAATTGAAGAGGACAAAAATTGAGAAATCGTATCATTGAAACATCGAAAAATTGAGAAATCGAAATGTATATATATTTTGTGTTAACATTTTTTATCAGGCGAAGTAAAATTTGTATTAGGTTGTCCAACTATAATATACTTAAACAATGTCTATACTAATCACGTAATGACTTATTTGCAGCCTTTTATGGGGGTCTGTTAGGACTCTTTATCGGATTCAGCTTCGTTTCTGCTGTCGAACTGGTTTACTTCTTCACAATTCGCCTCCTCCTGGACATAAAACACAAAAACGAAGCCGCCCAGACTAAAAAAGCCACACATTTAGTCAACGTGAAGCCACACCAGGAAGAAATTCTTAATCCGAGACACCTCATGACTTATCATCGCGATAAATTAAATCTGAGGCGTCGAAGCAATTCCAATTCGTAAATTTTGGATCAAATAGGCACAACTACCTCATCACTTATTAAAGTATTAAAAAAAAACTGTAGCAGTATTAAATATGTATATCGTAGGTTTTAACGCAACAAAAATAAAAATCAATGCACGTGTTGTTTTATGTTTTATTCTTTTATTCAAGTATGTAACTCAGAAACACAGTTTAGTGCTTATTTTGTAAATGTTTGCGCAAATTCCCCTTCCAGGCCGTACTGAAGCCACAATACAAACACTTGAAGGGAAGTTCGCCCCCAGTGTGTGTGAACTTGTGGGCATCCAGACCCCTCTTATCACTAAAACACTTTTGGAGGGAAATTATTTATTGGTGAATTTCACTTTTTTAACATTGAAGATAATTTTAGTGCTTTAGCCAACAAAATTCCGAGCTTTCCTAGAAGAGTGTCTGCTTGTGGATATCTGACGGCGTTGGAAGTACTAGTGGACAGCAACCCTTCTGATTATTTCGGTACGCAAATTGCCGCAATCGGGCACAGGGTACTCATCCACAATTCGTACTATTTTTCGGACTGGAGCGCCCAGAATATGTTAACGGAAAAAGGGATTATGAACCTGATTGGAATCACTCCTTCCGTCACCTACTCCACCCCAAGTATTAGGTCTCTCGACGTTTCTAAGCGGAATTGTCTTTTCCACAACGAATCACAGCTTCACAACTTTTACCACTACAACTACCATAACTGCTTAACTGAATGTCGCATGAATCTTAGTAAGCACTTTTGTGGGTGTATCCCGTTTTATTACTACCACCGTACCACGAAACGGGAACTTACCCCAAAACGCGCATTTGTAACCTGAGGGATATCCACTGTCTGACGGAACACAGACGTGAGTACTACGATTTTTTGGTCTAAAGAGACAGCATTAGTTTTGTAGCTTTAATAATGAATTCGGTGCCCGGGTTTGACTTTAGTACCATTTCTCCAAACCACGAATGGGGCACGGAACAACACGTGTGCAAAATGTGCTTGCCTGACTGCGACTACGTTGACTATTCGGCGGAATCGTCGTCTGGAATATTCACAAGGAAGTACTCAAGTAATCAGTTGAATTTATTGTAAGTAAACTAATTAAATGTAAAATGTAAGGTTAAATTGTGAGGGTTTTCAGCGGAGGGGTTGTCATTCAGCACCAAAGCGTCGTGAGAGTGTACTTCAACGATTTAGTGGCCACCAAAAATCGACGGGATGTTGTCTTCAGCTGGCATACTTTACTGGGTAAATAGTAATTTTGAATTTGATTTTGGCGCCATTTTAAGTATTTTCGATTGCGCCTGCGCCACAAAGAATTTCAATGACCTTGTATTTACTAACAATTTGAAATCCATACCATTGTTTAAGTATGTCAAATATGAGAAAATTGTAAAATCGAGAAATCCAAACATAAAAAATCAAAAAAATTAAAATTGGAAAATCTAAAATTTAAAAATCGAGAAATTGAATCGGTTAATTCAAAAATCGAAACATCGAAAAATTGGAAAATCGAAAAAAAATTGGAAAACCGCAAATTTAAAAATTCCAAAATTTAAAAAATTGAAAAATTGAAAAACCGAAAAATCACAAAATTGAACGAAATATCCAAAAATTAAGAAATTAAAAAATTGAGAAACGGGAAAGTCAAAAAAGCAGAGTCGGAAAATCGCAAACTTAAAAAATCGAGAAATTGAAAAATCAAAAACCTGAAAAAAAGAAAAATTGAAGAACTGGAAAATCGAAACTTTGGGAAGTGGACAAACGGGAATATAAAAAAATAGATTAATTGAGAAATCCGAAAACTGAAAATTCAGAAACGTCAAATTTTGAAAAATAAAAAAATATTGAAGAACTGAAAAATGAAAAATCTAAAATTTAAACTTAAGACATTGAAAAGTTAAAATATCGTACAATTGAAAAATAGAGGAATGCAAACATCAAAAAATCAAAAAAATAAAAGTTCGAAAATTTAAAATTTAAAAATCGAAAAATTGAAAAATCAACGAATCGAGAAATCGAAACTCGAAAATTTAGAAAATTGAAAAATTGAACAATCGGATAATTCAAAAATCGAAACATCGAAAAATCGAGAAACCGAAAAGCAAAAATCGAAAAACCAACAAATCGAAACATCGTAAAATTCAAAACCCGAGAAATCGAAAAATCAAAAGACCAAAAAATCGAAGAGTCGAAAAATCGAAAAATTGAGAAACCGAAATAGGCCAAAAACGAAAAATCGAAAATTCAAAATGGAAAAATTGATAAAGCGAGAGATTGAACAATCAAAACATCGAAACTTCCGAATCTCAATAAATCGAGATCTCAAAAAATTGAAAAATCGAAAATTTAAAAATTCGGAAAATTGAAAAATTAAAATACAGAACTGGAAACTCGAGAAGTCGAAAAATCTATAAATTTAAAATTTAAAATTTAAAAATTAAAATATGGGAAAGTTGAAAAATTGAGAAATTGAAATAAAACAATCGAAAAACTGAAAAATCCAAAAATAAAAAATCGAAAAATCTAGACGTCGAAAAATCAAAGAATCGAAATATTGAAAAATCTCAAAACTGAAAGAAATATCCAAAAATTGAGAAATCGAAAAACCAATAAAACGAAGTCGAAAAATCGAAGAATTGAAGAACTGAAAAATCGAAACTTTGAGAAGTGGGAAAATCAAAAATGGATTAATTGAGAAATCAGAAAACTGAAAATTTAACGTCAAAATTTGAAAAATTAAAAAATTTAAATACTGAAGAACTGAAAATCAAAAAATCGAGAAATCGAAAAATCTAAAATTTCAAACATTGAACAATTAAAATATCGCAAAATTGAAGAATCGAGAAATCCAATTCAATTTAAAAAATTGAAAAATTGAAAAATCGGAACATTGAAAAATTGGAAAATCCAGAAATTGAAAAGCCCAAAAGTAAAAAATCGAAACATCGAAAAATTCAAAAACTGAGACATCGAGAAATCGAAAAATCAGAGGATCGGGAAATTGAGAAGTCCGAAGCCGAAAAGGAAAGTTAAAAATTAAAAAATTGAAAAATTGATAAATTGAGAAATTGAACAATCAAAACAACGAAACATCTGAATTCGATAAATTGAGAAATCAAAAAATTGAACAATCGAAAAAATTGGAAAATCGAAAATTGAAATTAAAAAATTCAAAAAATTGAAAAATGGAAATATGGAAGAATTGAAAACTCGGGATATCACAAAACCTAGAATTTAAAAAAATGAAGTATTAAAAAAATTGAGAAATCCAAGTATAAAACAGTCGAAGAATTGAAAAATCTAAAGTTAAACAATAAATTGAAAATCCAAAAAGTAAAAAATCGAAAAATCAAAAAAATCCATCAATTCAAATATTGAAAAGTCGAAAAATCGAAATATTGAAAAATCTCATAACTGAAAGAAATATTCAAAAAACTGAGAAATTAAAAAATGGGAAAATTGAGAAATCGAAAAACTAAAAAGCAAAGTCGCAAAATCGTAAGCATTAAAAATCGAAAAATTTAAGAATTGAAGAAGTGAAAAATCGAAACTTTAGAAAGTCCTGAAATGGAAAAATAAAAAAAAATACTTTAAAAATCGGAAAACTGAAAATTTAGAAACGTGAATATTTTAAAAATTGAAAAATTAAAATTGAGAAATGGAAGCATAAAACAGTTAAAGCATTGAAAAATCTAAAGTTCAGAAAACGGAAAATTGAAAATCCAAAAAGTAAAAAGTCAAGAAATCGAAAAATCCAGAACTCCAAAAGTCGAAATACTAAGAAATCCCAAAACTCAAATATCGAAAAATTGAAAAATAGAAGAAAAATTGAAAAATCGAAAAACTGAAAAATCACAAAATTGAACGAAATATCCAAAAATTAGGAAATTAAAAAATTGAGAAACAGAAAAGTCAAAAAAGCAGAGCCGAAAAATCGCAAACTTAAAAAATCGAAACATCGTAAAATTCAAAACCTGAGACATCGAGAAATCGAAAAATCAAAAGACCAAAAAATCGAGGAGTCGAAAAATCGAAAAATTGAGAAACCTAAAGTACAAAAAACAAAAACTGAAAATCCAAAAATAAAAAATCGAAAAATCTAGAAGTCGAAAAATCAAAGAATCGAAATACTGAAAAATCTCAAAACTGAAAGAAATATCCAAAAATTGAGAAATCGAAAAACCAATAAAGCGAAGTCGAAAAATCGAAGAATTGAGGAACTGAAAAATCGAAACTTTGAGAAGCGGGAAAATCAAAAATAGATTAATTGAGAAATCGAAAACTGAAAATTTAACGTCAAAATTTGAAAAATTAAAAAATTTAAATACTGAAGAACTTGAAAAGTCAAAAAATCGAGAAATCGAAAAATCGAAAATTTCCAACATTGAACAATTCAAATATCGCAAAATTGAAGAATCAAGAAATCCAATTCAATTTAAAAAATTGAAAAATTGAAAAATCGGAACATTGAAAAATTGAAAAATCCAGAAATTGAAAAGCCCAAAAATAAAAAATCGGAACATCGAAAAATTCAAAAACTGAGACATCGAGAAAGCGAAAAATCGGAGGATCTAGAAATTGAGGATTCGGAAGCCGAAAAGGAAAGTTAATAATACAAAAATTGAAAAATTGATAAATTGAGAAATTGAACAATCAAAACAACGAAACATCTGAATTCGATAAATTGAGAAATAAAAAAATTGAACTTAATTTAAAAAAATTAAATATTAAAACATCGAAGAGTTGAACAATCGAGAAATCGAAGTATAAAACAGTCGAAGAATTGAAAAATCTAAAGTTTAGCAATAAATTGAAAATCCAAAAAGTAAAAGATCGAGAAATCAAAAAAAATCCATCAATTCAAAAATCGAAAAGTCGAAAAATCGAAATATTGAAAAATCTCACAACTGAAAGAAATATTCAAAAAATTGAGCAATTAAAAAATTGTAAAATTGACAAATCGAAAAACTAAAAAAGCAAAGTCGCAAAATCGTAAGCATTAAAAATCGAAAAATTTAAGAATTGAAGAAGTGAAAAATCGAAACTTTCGGAAGTCCAGAAACGGAAAAATAAAAAAAAATACTTTAGAAATCGGAAAAGTGAAAATTTAGAAACGTGAAAATTGAAAAATTAAAAAATCGAAATATTTAAAAACCGTAAAATTGAAGAGGACAAAAATTGAGAAATCGTATCATTGAAACATCGAAAAATTGAGAAATCGAAATGTATATATGTTACAGCTAATATCCGAAATACGTTATTATGCATAATAACTAGATATTTTAGGAATTATGCGTAATAACTAAACTTGTCAGTTATTATGCATAATAACTGGAAACTTTAGGAATTATGCGTAATAACTGAATTTTTCAGTTATTATGCACAATAACGGAAACGTTTAGGAAAAATTAATAATAACTAACAGAGGAACAGGAATTATGCATAATACCTGAAACATTAGTCATTGCCTAATAGGCCAGAGCCGATAATTTTTGAGAACAAAAAAATTTAGAACAGGTTGATGCCCATTGGAAAAGGAAGAAAATATAACAAAAATAAAAGGAAAAATAATTTACGGGCGATCGGAGGTTGGGAAGTGGAACAGGGTGAGCTTTTAAGGGTAGAAAACGGTTTATCACGATTTCCGGCAAAACTACAAGTCCTATCGAAAAAAGTTAAATGGCAAAGTTCTAGGTAATAAAAGGATCTACAACTTTTGTGTTTAGACTTTTTTTAAATAACCTCAAAATTTATGTGAAAAATGCAAATAACCGAGTTTTTGGTTTTTTATTTTTATCTCCCACAAAAAAGTTTTTTTTTTCACGAAATTTGGTGAAAACTTACCTATTTATGTCCCAAAATCACTGTAATTTTTTTTATTCAAAATATTTATTTTTCTCTCTTATTTTGATTTAATATCGAAAAACCCCCCTAATTTTCTATCGAAAATCCTAACGTCAAAATGTTTGCTTTTTTAAAAAAATCGGTGTGTTTTTTGTTCGTTGAAATCTCTACTTTCTGATGGTGTAAAATATTATGCATTATGCATTATATTGGAAAATATTATGCATTATTCCTGTTTCTGTGTTAGTTATTATCAATATTACCTAAACGTTTCCGTTATTATGCATAATAACTGAAAATTTCAGTTATTACGCATAATTCCTAATGTTTCCGGTTATTATGCATAATAACTGATAAGTTTAGTTATTACGCATAATTCCTAAAATGTCTAGTTATTATGCATAATAACGGATTTCGGATATTAGCTGTAACATATATATATTGTGTTAACATTTTTTATCAGGCGAAGTAAAATTTGTATTAGGTTGTCCAACTATAATATACTTAAACAATGTCCATACTAATCAAGTAATGACACATTTGCAGCCTTTTATGGGGGTCTGTTAGGACTCTTTATTGGATTCAGCTTCGTTTCTGCTGTCGAACTGGTTTACTTCTTCACAATTCGCCTCCTACTGGACATAAAACACAAAAACGAAGCGGCCCAGACTAAAAAAGCCACACATTTAGTCAACGTGAAGCCACACCAGGAAGAAATTCTTAATCCGAGACACCTCATGACTTATCATCGCGACAAATTTAATCTGAGGCGTCGAAGCAATTCCAATTCTTAAATTTTGAATCAAATAGGCACAACTACCTCATCACCCAAAGTATTAAAAAAAAAACTGTAGCAGTATTAAATATGTCGTGGGTTTAAACGCAACAAAAATAAAAATCAATGCACGTGTTGTTTTATTTTTATTTTAGTGTGTGTAACACAGTTTAGTGCTTATTTTGTAAATGTTTGCGCAAATTCCCCTTCCAGGCCGTACTGAAGCCACAATGCAAACACTTGAAGGGAAGTTCGCCCCCAGTGTGAGTGAACTTGTGGGCATCCAGACCCCTCTTATCACTAAAACTAGCCTCACACATATCACACTTGTAATACCTGCTGAAAGAATGTTGACACTTATCATGGTTACAAAGCAGACAATCTTTTTTCTCTTTCGCTAGATGGCGCGTCTCCATGTGTTGTTTCAAGTAAGTGTTAGTTAAAAAACCTTTCCCACACTCCTCACACTTGTGTGGTAATTCTTCACCAGTGTGAGTGATTGTGTGCAGTTTTAATTGATACTTTTCTGCAAAAGTCTTCTTGCAGAATTCACACACATGGTTGGATTTACCCTTGTGGGTGAAAAGGTGGCGATCGAGTGAACGCTTACGCGTCGTACTGTACATGCAAAAATCGCACTTATACTCCTTCACGTTAAGGAGCTTTTTGTCGTGTTTTAGTTTATGGGTGTTTAATAAATCTAGCCGGTATGCTTTATATTCACATAAATCACAAGTGTAGCTGCGTTTGAGGGAATTATAGTTGTAGGGTTTGCTCTCCCTGAAAAACACAAATGAGTGGTTGGTAACAATGCGAAAAAATACTTTCTGGGGTTGGCTCGTTTTCGCTTCCGCGCTCGCGTTGACTTTGACACTTTTTTGTCGTCTTCGTCGCTGTCGTCTTGACTTGACTGGTCTTCAAACATCAAACTATTTTGGTTGCTACCTTATGGTACAAACTCATTAAATAAAAGTTCATATGTAAAATTAAACAAACCTGTCAGTTTGGGTTGATTTCGAGTTATCTTGAAGACAATTGGGTTTTACGTCAGTCCACGGGTTAGTTATAGGTGGAAAATTCAAATCGAGGCGATGCAAATCAATTTTTTCTCCTAATTTCATATTGTGTAGACTAAGATAGTCATAAATTTTAGTTTCCGTCTGTAGGCACATGTTTCTAAACGTGTAAGCATTTTTCAGCAAGTCCCCACACTGCAAACATATCACAGTTTCGCCCGTTGACACATCCAAGTCCTAAAAACGCAACTTTCATTCAAAATTCAACTTTCTAAAAATTTCCTCACCATTTCTGGCATAAAAACCTCCAACATATCTTTGAACGACAACTGATTGATTTCTACCTTCCGGGAAATGTTGACGTAGGCGTTTTTCGATAAGCCGGTTTTTAAACACGTTCTACAAATTAATTCCATTTTAATTCTATGAACACTTTTTAGGTTATGTCTTTTGAATGATGACTAGTGACAGTTGGTTTTTTTGTCAGGTCGGTATCACTGCGCGTCAAAATAAAAACCTCCAATCAGAAAAACGTATATTGATGAAATGATTAATAAAATGAATACAGTAAATTAAATTAAAATCTATACAAAATAAAACTTTATTTTATGGGTTGCTTAAACCGCTCTAATCTTTGTTTTGCCTTATCCTCGTCGGTAACAATACCGAATCGGGCTTTCCTCCTCTCAAGCCGCTCCGCTTGGTCTATATTAGTCATCATCTTTGAAACCGACCCCCCGAATCTCTCCGCGCGCTGCTTAAGTACATCGATGCTGGTATCCTGCAAAATTAATTGAGACAAATTTTTTTAAATTTGTAAAACCTACCACTTTGGTTTGTGGCGTGTCTGCTTGACTTTTCGTTCCAAAGCGCTCCGCCCGTGCCAACTTCTTCGCTTCGGTGCTGAGCGTGGACACGTCGAACTTTTTCGCCCTCATTTCCAGGCGCTCTTTAGCAGACAGCGACGACAATTTAATAACGCGTTTCTCCTCATTTGTGCCGTTAGTTTTGTCCGAGCCCTCTTTACTGTCCGTGGATATCCTCTTCTCCTCGATCAGCGGCGTGTTCCTATTTAAAACTACTTTCTTTGCGGGTGGAACTTTGTCTTTGTCTTCTTTTAGCTCGTTTTCGTCCGACTTGCGCTTCTGGCCTTTAGTTGGAAGCGAATCGTTAAGGGCATTGTCTATATCACTTATCACAGACTCCGTGGTTTCCAGATGGTCATCGTCGTCTTCCTAAAACCCAAATATATACCTACTTTCGTTTGAAAATAACCACTGCCTACGTTTAGCAAGTCCTCATCTAAATCATCCACAGACTCATTGCTGGCCCTCTCGTTGGTTTTTAAAGCCGCCTGTAGTCTTTCCACCAACTCGTTTTTGTTCCCCGTCGTGTTGAGGCCACGACTTTTGAGCTCCTTTTTTAAATCAGGAACCTACAACAACAAAGTTGGTATGTATACACAAAACATAACCTCAAAGTGACACCACGCAGGTGACATGTGTCGAGTCGGGGGAGGTGATTAAAGGGACTTGTAGTCCGAAACGGGACACTAATTAATTTGTTAAACCCGGATTCGTACCTTTAACTTGGAAATATCAAGACCGGATCCGAGAACCGAAATATCCGCCATTTTTTTCACAATGTGTACAAAAAATCTAGGAAGATGCGCGGGTCAGGTGACACGTTAAGCCAACGCGTCATTGGTTGCAATGCGCGGGAGGGTTAAATGGTATCAACTGAGTTTATACAGTGTGTTTCACTAAAATCATGAGCAATGAAGCGAAATAAATGTGTGTCATGTTTTATACTATTGTTATTTTTATTGCACTGCTCTTGCCCTGTCCCTGTTCCACTGATCTGATTTAAATTAACAACTTGTACTTAAAAACAATCATTTAAAAATAACCCATCACAATTTGATAACCGCTTCAAAAGTTTAATAAATTAATAAATCTCGTAATCAGTCCGAGTCCAACTCTTGTCACAACATGTTTACTAAATTTATTATTGTTTGTGTCGTTTTGTGTCAACTTAAATACACTGTTGGACAAAGTATGGCAGAAATTTTATCAAATTCGTAGTTTAATTGTGGAATAATTCTAGGCTCTGTTGGAACAACGTGTACAACTCCTGCCCAAACCCCAGGAACATGTGTAACTATTAACGACTGCCCTGTTCTACTAAATTTATTACTAACTCAAAGCAACAATAAAACAGTTCGTAATTATCTCAGATCTTCCGTGTGTGAAAACAATGGTCGAAATCCAGTAGTGTGTTGTCCGCTACAGAGGTCTGGAATTCAAAATGATAATAACGCTCCTTCAAATCCGGGCAGTGTTAGATTGCCCAGAAGCCCAAACTGTGGCTTCAGCAATACCACCACTCCTAGAATCATAAATGGTGTTCCGGCTAAACTTGGTTAGTAGAGTTCAAGGCCAGATCAAAATTGCTTCTCTGAAAAAAAAAAAAAATGCGTCGTAAAGAGTGATCGTTTTAGGTGAATTTCCTTGGATTGTGGCTTTGGGTTACAGAAATGCGAAAAACCCAGACTTACCGAGGTGGCTGTGTGGAGGTTCTTTGATCACTAGTAGACACATACTGACCGCAGGACACTGTGTATATAATCAATCAAATTTGTAAGAAATTGCTTGTGGGTTATTGTAACTTATAATGCGACACTCTGTATAGGTATTTGGCGCGGATAGGCGACTTGGACTTGTTTTCCGACGACGACGGTGCTAGTCCATCTACAATACCCTTGACCACAGACAGAAAAGTTCATGAAGATTTTAATCCCAGTAAATATAGCAACGATATTGCTATACTTACTTTAGAAAGGGAAGTGAACAATCGTAAGTTTGTTTTTGGTACCATTGAGGAATATTAGGCTGTTGACGTTGAGGTTCCCGTTGTAAATGCTGACGTTGCTTTTAGAGCTGAAAATTGTTATTTATAAAGTCGGTGTCAAAATGTAGCCCCGCCCACCCGCCCTATCTCAATTGTGATGATTTTTTTTATTCGTCGTTAGCCAAGAAGGTGGAGCTTAACTCCAAAATCCTTATTCCTCTTCGAAAAATTAAAAATATGTTTTTGAGTATCATGTCGTTCAAAGAATACTATGTATATTAAGAAAAAAATAAAGCCAAAGATTAGGCCCCACTGACACCCGCCCTTATCTCAATTCGTTGTAAGATCGAGGGGTGGGGCTTAATTGAAAGATCCATATTGGTCTACAAGAATTTACCATTATAAACATGTTTTAAGTTCTTGTTCTGAAAAGACGACTACGTATTTTGAGAAAAAAGCCAAAATATAAGCCCCACCCACCCGCCCTATCTCAATTGTGATTTTTTTTTTAATCGTCGAGAGTCTAAGGAGCGGAATTTAATTGCAAAATCGTTATTATTTTTCTACAAGAAATTACCATGTAAGACATGTTTTTGAGTATCGTGTTATTAAAATTAAAATTAAAGGCAAAGATTAAGCCCCACCCATACCTGTACTTATTTAAATAGTAATGAAGTTTTCATTCGTTGGCAGACCTAGGGGCGGAGCCTAATTGCGAAATCCATATTCCTTATGAAAATGTTACCACTTTAAATGTGTTTTAAGTCTCTTTGAATAAAAAAAAAATCACCACATGTGAGATGAGGTGAGTGGGCGGGGTTTATATTTGCCTTTTTTTCTTAATATACATAGTATTCTTTGAACACTACGATACTCAAAAATATTTTTTTAATTTCTTGTATTGAAACAAGTATTTTGCAGTTAAAAATAATCACAATTGAGATAGGGCGGGTGGGCGGGCTTACATTTTGTCTTTTTGTTTTAATATATGTACACTTATTTTCACAACATGAAACTTAAAACATGTTTAAAATAGTAATTTTGTATAGGGAAATATCGATTTTGTAATTATGCTCCGCCCTTCGGTGTGACAACAAATGAAAAATTCATCACGACTGAGTGGATGGGTGGAGCTTCTCTTTTGGTGTTCTTTTTTAGTTAATACATTTAGTTTTCTTTATATAACACGATTACTTGAAAATATAATTCACATGGTAATTTCTCATAGAAAAATAACGATTTTACAATTAAGGTCCGCCCCTCGGCTTACGACAAATAAAAAAAATACCAGAATTGCGATAGGGTGGGTGGGCGGGGCTTATATTTTGCCTGTTGTTTTCTTACTATTCATAGCCATCTTTTCACAACAAGAAACTGAAAACATGGTTAAAATGGTACATTTTTGCAATGAAATATGGATTTTTCAATTATGGGGCGGAGCCTAATTGCAAAATCGATATTTCCTTATACAAATTTTCCATTTGAAACATGTTTTAAGTTTCATGTTATGAAAATAAGTCTACACATATTAAAACAAAAAAAGGAAAATGTCCGCCCTCCCACCCACCCTATGTCAATTGTGATGATTTTTTGTATTCGCCGTGAACCAAGGGGGCGGAGCTTAACTGCAAAATGCTCATTTCTTTACATGATATTAAAAACATGTTTTTTGAGTATCGTGTTGTTTAAAGAATACTATGTATATTTTAAAAAAAGGCAAAATAAAAACCCCGCCCACCCACCCCGTCTCAATTGTGATGATTTTTTTTTATTCTTAGAAGCATTAAAGCACGTATAAAATAGTATTTTTTTGTAAGGACATATGGATTTTGCAATTAGGCTCCGCCCCTAGGGCTGCCAACGAATGAAAACTTCATTACTATTTACATCAGCACAGGTATGGGTGGAGCTTAATCTTTGGCTTTAATTTTTTCTTAATATACATAGTATTCTTTGAACAACACAATACCAGTGACTATATATTTAAAAGACCGGCAACCCCGTATCCCTATGCGTACCACTGAGAGAATATTCGCGGTTAGAGGGCGCCACAAAAAGCGACAAAAGCCCTCTAACCTTCAATGGTTGTTACTAATACCATTTCACGGGTTGTTGTCTGAACTCGTACAGCACAACTACTGTAAGAGAATCACTGTTGCAGCCGTTTTAGTTTGAAATTTAACAAGTCGGACGGCGCGGAAAATTACCGACACTTTGCGACTCGAATCAAATAAGGATGTGGGAACAAAATCTCTCCATAAGCTTCAAACTAGTATAACTTTATTATTAATTGACGAATTAAAAATGTAATTAATAACATATATAACACAACTTTAAAAATACAATCTGCACCATATCTACTTGCTTCGCAAATGTTTAACTTAACACGGCGTTTTAACTGTGAAGGGGTTTTTTAAATGCATATGGTCTGCATAAAATTCGACAAACACATTTCGCCAATCATTTTCATTTAAGTATTCCATTACCACATTATTATCAGCAAAGAGCGGATTTCTGTCCGGCCTGGCAAGGCCAAACTCGGTACGGCTCGTGCGGGATGGAAATTCAGTGCAGGTACAGGCTGCACTTCGTTTATTTTAAAATAGAATACCGGTGCTTCGTTGTACTTTGCTGTTAATTCCCGTTCTCCTTTACTTAGCTGTTTTAGGAATTAAGTTTTCATTCATTGTATTTATAGGATAAGTGAAGATTAAATGCACTGATCATCACCCGCTACTGATTAGCAGCGATTTACGCGTCCCTACCTATAATCGTGACGTAGACAGAAATCCGCTGTCTAATTATCAGACAAAATATTAAAACTTCTAGGTGGAATTAGCGATTACAATTTTTGAAAAAAAGAAATGTGGTGTCGTGGGACACCAGGTAGGAACGAAGTTCCTTCGGTTAATGTAGAATCGACACAATTTGCAAAAAAAAAACGTGCTCAATTTTATGTAGGTTTTCTTGATTTTTCTCTTAAATTTTGCTGATTAGTTTTTATTTAAGTACAGGAAAATATTTAGGAAATTCAGTATTTTAGGAAATAATAAATTACGTAAAATAGGTAGAGTTATCAAAATATATATAGTAGTAAGTGTTTATTTTTTACCCTACGGGCTTAAAAAGATTCTTGACACTACAATTTTTCCCTAGTTAACAAAAACCAAATATCATCAATCAAAATATATATATATTTAAATGTTTGGAATTGAAGGGAGAATTTGTTTTAATTACACTGGTCAACAGCTAAGCTCTAACTTTTATTATAGCAGCCAATTATTATTTAATTAACAATTTTAAATGATATTATAAACGGCTAAACCCAAACTTAGCTCTCATTTAAAAGTAATCTTCAATATTATCCTTTGAAAAATACAAAAATCGTACTATTAAGTAATAGGAAACTTTCTATAAGGTGTATTTTTTTATGATCAAATTGCTACAAACTTCTTGGGTAACAATAAGAAAACTACGTTTAGTAAGTAGAAAACATGTTATCATCATATAAAAAATTTAAAATTAACATATTCTTAAAGTGCATTTTATGTATTCGCATCTTGATTTTTTCCCCAAAAATTATGACGACGTGAGTGACGGACGTAGAGAACGCTTCCATCTGGGCATTTTGTGGATACAAAAACGTTACCAAGATCGATGGAACACCTAAATGCTCGCAGAATACTGCGGACCATCAAGCGAGAGATCTCCAATGAAATCTATTGGAGGCAACCGAAAAAACGTCGGTCTTAGCTGATTCTTTTGTCTTTTTCGTTTTTTAAACTGCAATCGTTGTTTTTTTCTTAATTATGGTTGTTCTTTTGTTAATACATCACTTTTTGCCGTTAAAGATACAAAAATTAAATTGTTTTACCTGCTTTTTTGTTTTTAACATCAAATATGCATTTTTATTTTTAATTGAGCTAAGTTGTAAGGTTTACGCCCTTTCTTACAAACACAGAGACAAATTAAACGAAAACATTACAATTATGTCAAAGTTAGAGAGAAAAAATTGAATTTTGTTGACCAGTGTTATTTAAAAAAATAATCAATAAACTTTTTAAATATTGTCACTAGTTTAGAGGATATCTTTGCTTTATATCGTAACTTTCTTGCTTATTTTCATTTTTTTTAGCTTTTTCGCGTTCCCTATACGCTTTTTGATACTCTGCTTTGCCATTGTTACTATATTTATTATTGTTTTGACGATTTGAAATTGTATGAAAATAAACGTGGCTACTCACGAGTAAAATGTATCTATAATGTGCGTATTCGCCACGTGCTTGTCCATGAATTCATGAGTATATACTATGCATTGGCGGGGTGGAGTGGTAATAGAGAGAGAAGGGATGAGAGAACGAAAAGTGTTTAGGACATTTTTTATATTTTGTCGGTGCGGTCTTCACGTGTTGGCGGTGTCTTTGTAAGGCAGCTGCACGTGTGCGGACCTTTAACCTTGTGTGGCGGCACAATAACACGTCGGTAAGCAGAAAATAAATAAGTCGTCTCGTGGTGTGGTGGTAAGCATTCGTGCCTGGAGACCAAGGAGACGTTGGTTCGAATCCCACCGAGGCACAACATTTTTTTCTCTGCTTACCTACACTTGTAAGGCGGCCATTTTTCCACGGAGTTTTCGTTACGGTTTTAGGATCACATTTGTTTCAGTTCGGTCGTGCAGCAAAATTCCTATCTCCTCCAAGCCTGCCGTAAGGAACTTCGTTCCAATAAAAAAAATTAAAATTTAAAAACAGAGAAATTGAATAATTCGAAACATCGAAAAATTGGAAAATTGAAAAATTAAAAAAAAGTGGAAAATCGAAAAATTAAAATGTAGGAACAACCGTTCCCACAAAATTAGGTGTTCTACCTGAGCGCATTCATAATCTTTGTACAAATGTAAATACGTCCTATCTTTCGTCTACCTGCCCTACGCTCCTACATACTTTCTCTTTCCGTTTCTAGAATTTTCTAAACTCTTTCTTTACCTACTACCACCTATTTGAAACCGAGCCTACCTGTCGACCATTCAAACACCCTTCGATCTTCTTCTCCCTGGCACTCTCAAACAGTAAAAGGAACTAAATAAAATCTGAAAACCGTAACGTCGCTTTTTCTAAAAATCGAAACATTAAAAAAACGGAAAATCGAAAAATAAAAAAAATGGAAAATCAGAGATTTAAAAATTCCAAAAATTGAAAAATTGAGATAGAAGAACTGAAAAGTCGAGAAATTGAAAAACCTAATATTTTAAAAACTGAAAACTAAAAGTTTAAAAAACGAAAAATTTAAAATTCAAACAGTAAAAAGTCGAAAAACTGAAAGATCACAAAATTGAACAAAATATTCAAAAATTAGGAAGTTAAAGAATTGAAAAATTGAGAAATCAAAAATTCAAAAAGCAAAGTTGAAAAAAGTAGATTAATTGAAGAATCGGAAATCTGAAAATTCTGAAACGTCAAAATTTGAAAAATTAAAAAAAATTGAAGAACTGAAAAATCGAAAAGCCTAAAATTTAAAACATTGAAAAATTAAAATATCGTAAAATTGAAAAATGGAGAAATCTAAAAATCAAAAAATAAAAAAAAAATAAAAATTGAAAAATCTAAAATATAAAAATCGAAAAACTAAAAAATCAACACATCGAGAAATCAAAACTCGAAAACTAAAAAAAATTGGAAAACTGAAAAATCCAATAATATAAAAATCTAAACACAGAAAAACCGAAAAATCGAAAAGTAAAAATCAAAAACCGACAAATCGAAACATCGAAAAATTCAAAAACTGAGACATCGAGAAATCGAAAAATCAAAAGATGAGAAATCGAGGAGTCGAAAAGTCGACAAGTCGAAAAATCGAAAAATTGAGAAACCGAAATAGGCCAAAATCGACAAATCGAAAAGTTAAAAATGGAAAAATTGATAATTCAGGATCTCAAAAATTGAAAAATCGAAAATTTAAAAATTGGGAAAATAAAAAAATTAAAATATAGAACAACTGAGAACTCGAGAAATCGAAAAATCTAGAATTTTAAAAATGAAAAATTACAATATCGAGAAGTTGAAAAATTGAGAAATCGAAATATAAAACGGTCGAAAAACTGAAAAATAATAAAAATATCATAATAACTATATCTACTATAATGGCCGTTCATTTTTTTATTTAAATAAAGGATGAATTTAAACGCATACACCAGGCATCCTCCAAAAATTCGGATTTACTGGCATGTTGTCAACATGTGCTTATCATAACAATAATAATTAAAGAAAAGCTGAAATTTGGCTAAAATTGGACAAAAACCTTTCACCAGTCCACCGTTCATTTGGGGATGGGCTATTTTGCTTTAACGTAATCGCACTGGCCACAAGTCTGATGAGTTGGTGTTCGTCCAGACTACTGTTAACGTAGTTCACAAGAAAAAAGGAGGGAGAGCCACTATCCACTGTTACGTTTGTGGATGAAGTGAAGTGAGGGGTAAGACGGAGCATTAGCCCCGCACTTGTCCATAAGGTTGCCTCTCTTTTAACTCTATACTCACTGACAATACTCAAAAGCATATTTTTCATGGGAATTTCTTGTAGAGAAATAATAACGATTTTGCAGTTAAATTCCGCTCCTTTGACTATCAACGATTAAAAAAAAATCATCACAATTGAGATCGGGTGGGTGGGCGGGGCTTATATTTTTTCTTTTTTCTTAACACACGATGTGCCAACAAATGAAAACTTCATTACTATTTAGGTCAGGGCAGGTTTGGGTGGGCCTAATCCTTGTCTTTAATTTTTTCTTAATATACATAATATTCTTTGAACAACACGATACTCAAAAACGTATTTTTAATTTCTCATATAGAAATAAGGATTTTGCAGTTAAGCTCCGCCCCACCCCCTTGACTCACGACGAATAAAAAAAATCATCACAAATGAGAGAGGGTAGGTGGGCGGGCGTACATTTTCCTTTTTTGTTTTAATATGTGTAGACTTATTTTCACAACATGAAACTTAAAACATGTTTAAAATGGTAAATTTGTATAGAAAATTATCAATTTTGTAATTACGCTCCGCCCCTCGGTGTGACAACGAATGAAAAATTCATCAGGATTGACATTGAGACAGATGGGTGGAACTTCTCTTTTGGTGTTGTTTTTTAATTAACACATTTAGTTTTCTTTGTATAACACGATTACTTAAAAATATAATTCACATGGTAATTTCTCGTAGAAAAATAACGACTTTACAATTAAGCTCCGCCCCTCGGCTTACGACGAATAAAAAAAATTATCAGAATTGCGATAGGGTGGGTGGGCGGGGCTTATATTTTGCCTTTTTTCTTAATATACTAAGCATCTTTCCACAACAAGAAACATAAAACATAGTTAAAATGGTAAATTTTTGCAAGGAAATATGGATTTTGCAATTATGGGGCGGAGCCTATTTGCAAAATCGATATTTCCTTATATAAATTTTTCATTTTAAACATGTTTTAAGTTTCTTGTTGTGAAAATAAGTCTACACATATTAAAACAAAAAAGGAAAATGTCCGCCCGCCCACCCACCCTATCTCTATTGTGATGATTTTTTGTATTTGCCGTGAACCAAGGGGGCTGAGCTTAACTGCAAAATACTCATTTCTTTGCATGGTATTAAAAACATGTTTTTGTTTAAAAAATACTACGTATATTAAGAAAAAAAAGCAAAATATAAAGCCCGCCCACCCACCCCATCCCAAATGTGATGATTTTTTTTTATTCTTAGAAGCATTAAAGCACGTATAAAATAGTAAATTTTTGTAAGGACATGGATTTTGCTATTAGGCTCCGCCCCTAGGTCTGCCAACGAATAAAAACTTTATTACTATTTAGATCAGGGCAGGTATGGGTGGAGCTTAATCTTAAAGTTAAATAACACAATACTCAGAAACATGTCTTTCATGGTAATTTTTTGTAAAGAAATCATAACGATTTTGCAGTTAAATTTCGACGAATAAAAAAATATATCAGAATTGCGATAGGGTGGGTGGCCGGGCTTATATTTTGCCTGGTTTTTTCTTAATAATACATAGCTATCTTTTCACAAGAAACTTAAAACATGGTTAAAATGGTTTTTCCAAGGAAATATGGATTTTGTAATTATGGGACCTAGGCAAATTGCAAAAGCGATCGTTTGTTATACAAATTTTCCACTTTAAATATGTTTTAAGTTTCATGTTGTGAAAAGAAGTCTACACATTTTTTTTCTACGAGAAATAACCATGTGAAATATGTTCATAAGTAGTCGTGTTATACAAAGAAAACTAAAAAATGTATTAATTAAAAAAGAAAACCAAAAGAGAAGCACCACCTATCCTTCTCGATCTCAATCGTGATGAATTTTTAATTCGTTGTCAGACCCTATACAAATTTACCAATTTAAATATGTTTTAAGTTTTGATTTTCGTGGAATTAGTGCTGTCAACCTGAAAAATATCTCCCCTACTTGAGGGGATTTTCCTTCAGGTTGGCAGCACTGCACACCCCAACGGCGTACCAACTATCAACGGCAACGTCAACGGATGATATAAACGACGCATACCTTCGCTACATATGTATTTATTTTACAACGGCAACCGCAACGTCGGCGACAAGTTTATGAATCGACCTTAAATGTCACAATTGCAGCCACGGTTTGGCCCATTTGTTTGCCCTTTATTGAACCTTTTCGATCCATGAGCTACTTGAATTTTGCTCCCGCTCTTGCCGGATGGGGATCGACAGCTTTTGGTAACAATTTCTACCAAAATGACATTACAGCCGCACTATTTTTGTGTCTTATATGTGTTTTAGGTGGTCCATCCAGCGCAACCTTGCAGCAAATTTTCGTCCCCGTCTTGAGCAACCAAATCTGCGAACAAAACTTTTCGAGGGCTGCCACAATAGACGCGCGAATTATATGCGCCGGGTCGTTAAATGGGGACAAAGACGCTTGCGGCGGGGACTCCGGGGGCCCCCTCATGCACGAGATAAACGAAGGAACGAATTACCGGGTGTACCAAATCGGAATCGTTTCGTACGGCTTTCGCTGTGCGAGTCCTGGATACCCTGGGGTGTACACCCGAGTGACAGCTTTTGTGGACTGGATACAAAAAAATTTAGATTGAAGTGAACTCTAATCGATTATATTAAAAACTTAAAGCTTAAAGGATTGTTTTTCTTATTTATTGATAACGTGACTAAATTTTGTGTTCATCCACACCAACAATTGAATGACGTCATTTCAAGGGTACCAATCTGAAAATAAAGAAGTCTTAAATTAGATGAATATATTGTTGCCTATGCTGCAAACACTCGTGATGAAGACATAGCAATTAACTGTCAATCTCATTTCAAGCTCATTAAGGTTATGTTACATTTTTATTGAAAACGAGAAAAAATAGTCACAAACGATGGCTGTGGCTTCAGCTGTGGCAAGCGGAGGCATTGCTAAATCGCGCACCGTAGGGTCAGCTGCCCTTTTAGGTAAAAACATTATCACAATACTGTAAAAAAATTCCACTTCCAAACTTTTCCAGTGTCCGGTGACCATGTCTTCGAAATACCGGCGAAATTAATAAAAAACCCATCCGACATGAGAATCTGGGAAAAATCCGAAGCTTACTATGTAATTAGAACCTCCTAACCATAAATCACAAATTTATATCAACTTTTCCAGGAATACTTGGGATTCATTTTAGCCATAAATGAAGCAATCAGAGGAAAAAGTAATTCCCAGGGGAGCCAAGATCTTTCAGAAAGCGTAAGCAGTCTGATCGGTGTCTTAGATAAACTTGACGCTTTAATTGATGAAACACCCCCAGTGGAACAGCCACAAAGGTTCGGAAATGTGGCTTTCAGAACATGGTTTTCAAAAATGCGAGATGTGGGTGTTTTTAGTTAAGTACATACAAGTGTTACGTGATTCATTGCAGGGTTCACTAACTTTAATCCAAGAGGTGTTCGAATCCACCTTCAATCAAGCAATTCCTGAAATCGTCACCTACTTGATCGATTCCTTTGGCAATTCCACGCGAATTGACTACGGGACGGGGCACGAAATCTCCTTTATAATGTTTTTGTGTTGTTTGTTCAAAATTGGGGTGCTAGGAGACTATGATAAGGTGGCGACGGGGTGCTGCGTTTTCCCCCGGTACTTGGATTTGGCCCGAAAGTTGCAGAAAACTTACAGAATGGAGCCCGCTGGAAGTCACGGCGTGTGGAGTTTGGACGATTATCAGTTCGTTCCTTTTATCTGGGGCAGCTCGCAGTTGTTCGGTGGGTGCAACTAGGGTTGTTTTGTTTAAATTCATGGAAAATTACAGGACATATTGTTGTGGAGCCACACATGTTTTTGCAACCACAAGTGTTGAACGAGTTTGGGGAGGATTACATGTTTTTGACTTGTATTAAGTATATAAATTCTGTCAAAACTGGGCCCTTTGCCGAACATTCGAACCAGTTGTGGAGTATTAGTGGGGTTTCGTCGTGGCAGAAAATTAATGGTGGATTAATTAAGATGTACAAAGCTGAGGTAAGTAAATTGTTTTGTGGACGGGTTGTGGGTTGCTAATTCGTTCCTGGAGTAACTTATAAACAAAGAAATCGTTGCTGAGGTGGTAAAGGTCAAGGACGGTACAGAAATCCCGTTTCCGTTTGTCTGTGACGGTTAAACAAAACACTTCAAAATTATGGATTTATTACTGAAATTGTCATTCCTTCCAAAAAATGATTACGTCATCTCAAAAATGTATTATCGGGGGATATCTCAAAAAAATTAATATAGTTATACATGAGGAATCACGGTTTTCGAAGTTGCATTCTAAAAATATAAAAAAATTAATTCAAAACCAGTTATTATAATTTCCGGTTTTTCCTATCAACAGTCTCCTTTCTGTCTGAGTAGAGTCAATAAAAAAAAATATTTCCCCGACAATAAAATTTTCAAATGTGGGTTGTTTTGGTTTCAAAAAATTAAAAACAGACAAAAACAAAGCCAAGAATGACGCAAAACAAATGCCAATATACTGGTTTTTAAATCATAATTTATTTAGTATTTTCCACGTTTTTCTGTCACAGAGAAATGGGGTATTCCAACATTTTGTTGCAGTTTATTAAGCTTCTTGGTACTTTACATATTTATACATAAGTACGACCAAAGAACTTATTTTTATTTAAACGCATCACTTGATCTCGGTGCCTTTGACTATAATATATAGATTATTACATGAAAGTGAGGTTATATACCTCGATAATTCGGACATTGATTAAATACATATGTATTTAATCAATGGTTCGGATTAGCGACTTGTTCGGATCAACGAATTTCCCAAAAATCTGAAAGGGAATTGAATAACAACTTCATATATTATACAGGGTGTCCCAGAATTCGCGCCATTCCCGTGAGTGACATGTTCCCTGTCCCGAACTGTGCCGTAATTCGCAAAAAGAATTGTCCAGGCTTTAACCGTGTGAAAACTGGAAGGCGATTAATTTGACCAATAGAGAGGCTGCTTTTATATCCGAACGTTTCTATGTTCAAAGTTACCTATGCCAAGAACAAAAAATCGGGTAATACTAAAGTTGAATGAATTTTTTCCGAATCCCCCTCCGTCAACAAAAGGAAACAGAAGTGTGGTTATAAATTTAATCATTTTGACAATTGTTTGTCATAAACTGTCACGAAGTTCATCACTGATCTGAAGAGACGCTTCTGCGCCAAAGATTACTGATTAATGTATACAGAGACGTCAAGGTTTACTTTAAGGCAAGTAGCATGGGACAGAAGTTATTTCTGCTGCCATTCTAGTTAAATTGTGTTTAACTGGGCTGTACATGTCATAAGAGAAGCTGTTTCATTTCATCGTAGGCAAATAATACATTTATTACTATTCTACATAGTGTAGATACCGAAGAGCAGGTATTAGAAGTCATTTTCTTAGAGCCCCGTGAAAAATGTGTTGTTCTTTTTAACGAAAATTAGTACATTTTCAGAATGTATCATATGCTTGATATTAAGTTTATCGTTATTTCTAAAAAAGAGTACCACATGTCCATTCAAAGAACGTTATTAAGGGTTCTAAAACATAAATATCGCTTTTGATTAATCGGTGCTTATGATTTTTAATAAACAGTATCAATTTTTACTGAACAGCTTTGTTGCTGATACCTAATCTAAGCAACGAAAAAAGAGACGAGACTCCACTTCTCTGGTGTATTAAGATCATAGGTATCTGCTGTGGTGTCAATCATGTGGGGGAGATACTGAAAACTGAGACTTATTCAAGAATAATAATATTGATGTTGCACATGATGATTTAAAACAGTTTCTTTAAAGTTGTCAGTACTTTCTAGAGATTGAAAAGATACGAATAAAAATTATAACAAAAATCGTTTAGTTGCAATTTTTTTTAAGAACAATACAAACTATAAACAAATCAGTACCAATACCACTAAGTTATTGATGTCTTATTCATACTAGTATAAAGAATATTTGGAAATGATGTTAATTTATGGAGAATGTACACGCTATGCAGCCACTGCTGTGCGCGAATATACAGGTCTTTTCCCCAATCATCGGCTCCTTGACCAGCATGTGTTTCGTCGTTTGTTGCATCCAGCAAAAGAAGATGGATCTTTTCAGCCTATTCGGAAAGCCGTGCTGGGGCTCCACGGATTATACGCATAGACGGTGAAGAACAAGTGGCACAAATGATTGGATGCTCAAGATCGATCATGCATCGTATCCTTACAGAGAAAAATCTGCATCCTTACTATTGACGACAGTGCAGCATCTGCGACGAGCCGACTGCGCGACGAGTGCATGTTGCTAAATGGTTACTGCGACAAAATGAACTAAATCCTGATTTTTCACGGCACATTCTTTTCGCCGACGAATGTTGATTTTCCCGAAAAGGAATATTTAATGCGCAAAATTGGCACTTCTGGGCAAACGAAAATCCACATTTCGCTAACGTGAGAGCATATCAAGAGCAATACTATTAATCTATGGGCTGGAATCGTTGTACTGTAACGTTATTAAACAATGTGCTCAAAATGACCACCATTAACTTCAATGCAAGTTCTAGCTCGTCGAATTATGTTGTGTTGTGTATTATTTAACATCTCAGGAGTAACTGTAGCGTAGGCTTCGTGCAGTCTCTCTTCCAGTTCTTCTAACATATCTAGGGGTTCTCTATATACGTAATTTTTAATTTGATTCCAAAAAAAAAGTCCAAAGCAGAAAGGTCTGGAGATCTAGGAGGCCAGATGTTAGTACTGCAACGCCCAATCCACTTATGACGATACTCTTTTCAATGTTCGTCGTACAAGTATCGAATTATGTGGAGGAGCGCCGTCGTGCTGAAACCACATATTCCGCCGTACATTCAAAGGAACGTCTTCCAACAATGCCGGAAGCTCTAGTCGTAGAAAATTAGCATATGCATCCCCATTAAGGCGATCAGGTAACACAAACGGCCCCACCTAAAAAAACAGGAACGGAGTTTAGTGATAATTTTATCAGATGCATTAAAATTTTTACCACAGTAGTACCAATGATTCCAGCCCATAGATTAATAGTAAATCGCTCCTGATATGCTCTCACCCTAGTAAGATGTGGATTTTCGTGTGCCCAGAAATGCCAACTGTGTGCATTAAACATTCCTTCTCGGGAAAATGAACATTCGTCGGTGAAAAGAATGCGCCGTGTAAAATCAGGATTTAGTTCATTTTGTCGCAGTAACCATTGAGCAAAATGTACTCGTCGCGGGTAGTCGGTTGGTCGCAGATGCTGCACTCTCGTGTAATGGTAAGGATGCAGTCTTCTCTCTTGAAGGATACGATGAGTGGTCGATCTTGAGCATCCACTCATTTGCGCTACGTAGAGGACACTTCTCCTAGGATCCGCTTTCATGTTTTCTAACACTTGCTCTTCAGCACCTACACGTACATTCCGTGGAGCCCCAGCACGGCCTTTCCGACTAGGTTGAAAAGATCCATCTTCTCTTGCTCGATGTAACAATCGGTGAAACACATGTTGGTCTGGGTGCTGACGATTATTCACGGGGCTCTAAGAAAATGACTTCTAATACCTGCTCTTCGGTAGCTACTCTATGTAGAATAGTAATAAATGTATTATTTGCCTACGATGAAATGAAACAGCTTCTCTTATGACATGTACAGCCCAGTTAAACACAATTTAACTAGAATGGCAGCAGAAATAACTTCTGTCCCATGCTACTTGCCTTAAAGTAAACCTTGATGTCTCTGTGTACATTAATCAGTCATCTTTGGCGCAGAAGCGTCTCTTCAGGTCAGTGATAAACTTCGTGACAGTTTATGACAAACAATTGTCAAAATGATTAAATTTATAACCACACTTCTGTTTCCTTTTGTTGACGGAGGGGGATTCGGAAAAAATTCATTCAACTTTAGTATTACCCGATTTTTTGTTCTTGGCATAGGTAACTTTGAAAGTAGAAACGTTCGGATATAAAAGCAGCCTATCTATTGGTCAACTTAATCGCCTTCCAGTTCTCACACGGTAAAAGCCTGGACAATTCTTTTTGCGAATTACGGCACAGTTCGGGACAGGGAACATGTCATTCACGGGAATGGCGCGAATTCTTGGACACCCTGTATACTGAATTTTTTGAGAATTTTTAGACGACTTTTTCAAAAATGAAATTTTCTACCTGCCTTGTGCATATAAATAAGCTCATATTGTTTCCAAATTTTGATCATTTTTTGTAAAAATTGGTGATCACCACTTGGTAAAATAAAACTGATTTTGGTCATGACATACCCTCTAAGAAAAGAGAGGGTGAGTGGGCGGGGTTAGTAGATAAGAAATTAATTTCCATTTTAACCGCTTACCGTAATTTTTTGTTACATTCAGATTTATCTCTTATTTTAGCAGAAAAATCGGAGAACGCGTGGGTGGGCGGGGCTAAATTTAACTTTTCCAGTAGAGACTTATAAGCAAGCAATAGCCCCGCCCATTCGTCTTTTCTTCATTCTAGTGCCTACTTTTAATGTTATTCAGTCTTATCTATTTAATTAGAGGGTATATCATTTGCCAAAGTCGGGTGGGTCGGCGGGGCTAAGTTCAACTTTTTCCTGCAGAGACTTATAAGCAAGCAATAGCCCCGCCCATCCGCCTCCTCTTCATTCTAGTGCCTACTCTTAATATTGTTCAGTCCCGTCTAACGTTCAATGAATAATGTTGTCTAAGTTCATTCGCACAATGATAAACAAAACTACCCCACCTTTCCTATTTGGGAAAAAGCCAAATTTATTGTGAGCGATGTGGGGTTGAAAGCAGTTTTGACCTGTTGGCCTAATGTTTAAATTTATTGTCTACGGTCTAATCTCGGGACCGCCTTACCTGTTACCTATACGTTGTGAAGAGGTAATTTTACAAGAAAATATCAAAAAATGCCCCAATCCGTGACCGTTGTTGAGACTGTCCGTTGTTTGCAGGATTCTTTACATTATATGACCTATTTTATACGTTGGTACAGTGAAAATTGT